GAGAGATTCAAATACAAGTAGCTTGGAACACCACGAGATGCCTCTCCATTTCTGTTTTACCAACTGCTTTTCAAGCACTAGTACCTGCAATAGTCATTTCTGCTACCGGCCTCTCTACCTGAGTAGGCAATATGTTAACATAACAAACGACTGTTCGCATCTTCTCATAAATTTCTTACCCGGAATCCACTATCCTCTATCTGTACACTTCAGCATGATTAGTCTTGCAGGCAACGGATATAGACTTGCTGCCAGCTTTAATCTGGGAAATTGCTTTCCGTTTCCAATCAAAAAAAAAAAAAAAAAAAAGTATTTCTGTTAATTGAGAATTATCATATGTAGTAGCTATAAATTCAATAACTTCCCAAAAAGTATTATACAATGAAATGAGTAACAAAACAGCAACAGACATTACTTAACCTTTTTATTTACATAATTATCACATCTTAGATATCATTATGAACATCAATCATCATATAAAACTGCTGCCACAGTAGGTATAAGACACTGAACTCAATTTGTACCAGTAAAAGGACATATATACCCCAAATTGCACTACAAAAGCATTCTTCATCTAATTTTCTTTATAACTGAGTTATTCTATGAGGAAAAACAAAAACACAAATTTTCAGTGTTGTGGTTTTTTGGATTTCAGATTTAAAAAGAAATAAATTTGTGTGTTTTCTAAGTTCTACATGAAATTTCACTGATCCATCAAAATTTACTCTAGTAAAAATAAAGTTAGGTTAATAATTTTAAAGTTTGTGGGAATGTATTAGAGTAAACATGTTGCAGTTTGAACAATAAAAACATTTAATTTATTACTTTTTATAGTAAAGTTGTTTTCTAAAAAATTCTCCATACCCTGTCTTCTGGGCACTTTTTACAAATAATAGCAGGTCTTCCATTACTAGAGAGCTTCTGAAATCCTGGCAGACATACACATGAAGTTCCTAAAAAAACAAAAAAAAAAAACAAACAGAAGGAAAGCCAATTTTATCCTTAGTAAATAAAAATAAAACTCCAAGATAGGAAAACTTTTAATAATTCTAACGATTTTGAGAAGCAGTGTGGGGGTTAAGAGTAAGACTCTGCAGCCAGTACTGCCAGGGATCCAATACAGCAACATAACTCCTTGGGTTCCAATCTTAGTCTTACTTGGCAGTGTGACCTTGAGCAAGTTACTAAACTTCTTTGCTCCTTGACTTCCTCTACAGTAAAATGGAGAAAGTAACAGTACTTATTCTGACAGTGTAATTATGAGTATGAAATTAGTTATTATATGTAAAGGTCATAGGGGAGTGTCTGGAATACAGCTGGCATTGTGTTGTTACCATTTTAAGAGCAAGCATAACTAAACTATTAAACTATTTAACTGCTATGGGAAATTTTACATTTCTATGTCACTATATATATATAATTCAATGAATTCACTTTGTCATACTCTTACTAGGAAAGTTACTGTCATTCAAATAAGTCACTGTTTCCCTCTGTTTGGACAGATAATAAACACTGTAAGACAATCACTATTCAACTTGCTAGACAGGTAAGGACAGCATTCTCTAAAGAGCCATTAAATGGAAATAGCACCCATAGGCGTCTACATGGTACAATGTATGTAATATCTGGATTCATAATTATGGAACTAATACCTTACATTTTACAGTGTGAAATGCTTTCTCATTCATACTGCTTTACCTGCACAGACTGACCTGTCCTGTTCCATTCACTTAAATGAGTATATATCAAATCTGATGATGGCAGAAAGTTAATAACATGGGTGATCAAATAGAGATGGAAAACATTTTAGACTTTAAATATGGGAAAACACTTGCAGTTTCAGTGAGAACTAGGACCACATAATGGACGTTTGGGAGAAAAAATCAAGCTTAATCTAAGGAGACTTTAAGAGCAATTAATAATATTCAACAATAAAGGGAATAAGTCCTAAGGAAACATATAATATTGGAAACATACTGTATAGAGAAAATAGGTCAACATTGAAGGCAAAGAGACAGGAATTCTTCTAAGTCCCCAATTTAGGTGGCACATAAGACGTTGCAACTTCATCTGGGCTTCAATTTCCTTATTGTACAATGAGAATACTGAACCTGATCATGATTAAGGTTCTTTCCAGCTCTAAATTTCTGGCATTCGAAAAGCAATATAAAGAGCTAACAAAGTTTACAGGTGTTAATTTGTATTTCCTCCCTAACCTTTCCTGTCACTTGTTCTTCTTCACCTCAGATTACTTTTTTACTATTTCTTTTCTATCTTCCATAGACAGATTTACAGGTACCTCCCTAACCATCCCCCATTCCCAAGGGGAGTGCAGAACTGCCGCTGAGAAATTAATTACTGGCGATGGCTCACAGGATAGAGGACTCAGGGTCCCCAATTTCATTAGTATGCAAGCTGCAATCCTCCAAGGAAACTCTTTTCTCAGGCGTCAGAGTTTAACTTTTCTGAAACATTCTCCCGCAGACAGAAAGGTTTTTCATTGATCCCAGGGACTGGGGGCAGACCAAGGCGGGAGTGTTACTTTTGCTAGGGCCCACCTCAGTCTCACCTCGGGCATCCTGCCTCTGGTTGGCTCCACACGGGACACAGGAAAGCACAGAGATATCGAAGTAGTGGTTAAGGTCGCACTTCTCCGGCTGCTGGAAAGGGAAGGAGAAAGTCTGGGCCTGTGAGACGCGAGAAAAGAACAACAGGAAGAACGCAATCACAGCCCCACTGGATAAAATGGACCAAACCGCCATTGCTATCGGAGTCCTACCGCGCGTCGCCATGGTACCGACGCTGGCAGCTGCACTGACTGTAGCGTCCCATCAGCCTCTGCGGCGATTCCGCTGAGCTGATTGGGCAATCCAAGCCTGAGTTCCGGAAGTCACCGCCTGTGCTGCTTTGTTGCTAGGTTACGTAAACCCGCGGGAAGCTGGTGGGTCCAGGAAAGGATGGATTCCAGGCAGGCCAACTCTGAAGCCTGGGGGCAATTTAAAATTTGTACAGATGCTCCTGGATTTACAATAGGGCTGCCTCCGGAAAAGCCTACCGTAAATTGAAAATACCGTTAAGTCAAAAACTCTGGGACTTGATCCTTTAGTCAGAAGTGAAATTATAATTACGGGGTTGGGAGATAGAATACCGCCGCAAAGAAATTATCTCATTGTATCACATAAATTAAAAGTATTATTTCATGAAATTGTTGAATGATATTTAAATCAGAATTTATCCAGACTAGCTAACTGTCACCTTAAAGGAGACATGGGGCCGAGCAGGATGGCCCAGGCCTGTAATTCCAGCACATTGGGAAGCTGAGCTGGGAGGATCCTCACTTGAGCCCAGGAGTTTGGGGTTGCAATGAGATATCACGCCACCGCACATTACCCCAAGCAACAGAGCAAGACCTTACCTCAAGAAAAAGAAAAAAAGAGAGAAAGAGACATGTATTTTAAGAAGTTAAACAATTTATAAAACACACACACTGATTTAAAATATGCCATGCTGGAGGTTTACTATGGCTCAGAAACTTAAAAAAAAAAAAAAAAAAAGATTTCTTACCAGGCCTTGTTTTTCCTACTTTCCTTGTTTTGAGCATAGGAAATCATGCATATAAAAAATGAGATTATCTTTACACCAGCTGTGAATAAAGAAGGAACCTAGTTTTTTATTCATTATTAGTAACTTGAGATGACTTTGGCTTTTTCAAAAAAAATTTTGTAATAAAAATTGATGATTTGTCACCATTAAGAAATATATAGATGGATATATATACATATATTACATATGCTCAATGTATGTGGAAAATACATATAAGGAAGTTATATAACTTTAACTATTAGCCACCATTAGGCCTAGTTTTTCTCATGTGACCTTCCCCAAAAGACCGGCATCATCCTTGTCACTAGTATCTATGACACAGACGTATATGTTCTGAAAGCTGTTCCTTAAAGAGAAATTTTTTAAAATGTTTTTGATTAATTGCTGGGTTGTTGGAACACAATTTGAAGTGGAAATCACTTATCTGAATAAATTTTTCAAAAAAATGTGTGACCATATAAATGTTAATGGGGACACAAAAAGAGTATGGTTAGAATAGTTGGGATTAATCTGCAAAAGCTTCCTGCAAAAACTTCCTAAGAGTTTTAGCTCTAGTCTTCCTTGATGAAGTGCATATTGTTATATGCTCTGTGGATGGGATTAGGGCAATAATATTTACTTATTACATACTATTTAATTAAAGCAATAAAGGCTCTGATTCATGATGGTCTTTGTGGTGTCCCACACTTTGTACTGTGCTAGGCACTTGACAGCGGAAATCTTTTTTTTTTTTTTTTTTTTTTTTGAGACAGAGTCTCACTCTGTTGTCTGTTGCCCTGGCTAGAGTGCCATGGCGTCAGCCTAGCTCACAGCAACCTCAAACTCCTGGGCTCAAGCAATCCTCCTGCCTCAGCCTCCCAAATAGCTGGGACTACAGGCATGTGCCACCATGCCCAGCTAATTTTTTCTGGTCTTGAACTCCTGAGCTCAAACGATCCACCCGCCTCGGCCTTACAGAATGCAGGCGTGAGCCACCGCACCTGGCTGACAGCAGTAATCTTAATGCTCCATGACAACCTATTAGGGAATACAATCCCCATTTTATAAAAATGGAAACTGAGAGCCGGGCGCGGTGGCTCACGCCTGTTATCCTAGCACTCTGGGAGGCTGAGGCGGGCGGATTGCTCAAGGTCAGGAGTTCGAAACCAGCCTGAGCAAGAGCAAGACCCCGTCTCTACTATAAATAGAAAGAAATTAATTGGCCAACTAATATATATATATATAAAATTAGCCGGGCATGGTGGTGCATGCCTGTAGTCCCAGCTACTCGGGAGGCTGAGGCAGAAGGATTGCTTGAGCCCAGGAGTTTGAGGTTGCTGTGAGCTAGGCTGATGCCATGGCACTCACTCTAGCCTGGGCAACAAAGCGAGACTCTGTCTCAAAAAAAAAAAAAAAAAAAATGGAAACTGAGGATTGAAAAAAATTAAGAAGTATAGAAGTCATGAAACTAGAATTTATCTTCGTTCGTCCAACTCTAAAACTAGTTATGTTTATTACTAGTTACTGTATTAAATGGCTTCTTTGTGGAATAGATATAGAAAAATTTTGGTATATTTTGCATGTGAAACAAATCTATTATCTTTAGATAGAAAGATAATATTGCCATTATAGACTACAGACAGTGAAATTATGATTGTCTAAGACCCTTGGACACTATACCTAACAAAACTGCCCCCATGAGCTAGAGAAATTATCTGTAGCAGCATAACTTGAAATAGACAAACAGTTAAATTTGATGACCAGGGACAGTGGCTCACGCCTATAATCCTAGCACTCTGGGAGGCTGAGGCGGGAGGATCCCTCAAGGTCAGGAGTTCAAAACCAGCCTGAGCAAGAGTGAGACCCTGTCTCTACTATAAATAGAAAGAAATTAATTGGCCAACTGATATATATATAAAAATAAAATTAGCTGGGCATTGTGGTGCATGCCTGTAGTCCCAGGTACTCGGGAGGCTGAGGCAGAAGGATTGCTTGAGCCCAGGAGATTGAGGTTGCTGTGAGCTAGGCTGACGCCACGGCACTCACTCTAGCCTGGGCAACAAAGCGAGACTCTGTCTCAAAAAAAAAATAAAAAAAATAAAAAAAAAAAATAAAGAAAGAAATAGTTGATTTTCTCTTGAGCAGGAAGAGGTCAAGGACTGGGACAGAAGGACTGGGAAGAGAGTCATATCAGGGGAAGAGAGTCATTCTTTCCAAAATTTGGAAGAAAAGAGGAGAGATGAGTAAAGGCACAAGAAATCCCAGGGTGGGGCACAGAGAAGTCAAGCAAGTTCACTTTTCTGAGTAAAGAACATGGGTAAAAGAAAATGTTTTACAAAGACTGAGTGGGTGATTGAAACGGAAAGCATTTCCAGATGAAAGCTGGCAGCAAGTCTATATCTTGCCTGCAAGACTAAATCATGCTGAAGTGGTAGCAGATAGAGGATAGGTTAGGGATGTCCTGGGGTAGAGGTGGACAGTTTATGGAGAAGATGAGGTCGTTTGGTTATGTTGAACATGAGTTGCCTACTCAGGTAGAGAGGGGTAGCAGAAATGTATGTGGAGGTCTAGTGCTTGATGAAGAGGTTGGAAACAGAAATGAGAGGCATCTGTGGGTGTTCCAAAGGCTATTGTATTTTGAATCTCCAAACTGAATTAAGAGAGAAATAATCACCAAAAAACAGAGCCTAGGTGAGAAGTCAGAAAGTAGCTCATGCTTGGCAGGGAATTCAGATCACTTTTCAAACATTTATCGAGCACTTCTGTAAGACAGACATTTGTCAGGGACAAGGGCTATGTTTGGTGCTTTCCCTCAAGGGCCTTACAATCTAATAGAGGAGCAGATATATTACTAGAAAAAAAATCATTCAAAAGTGTTAATAATTACTCTAATTGAGGCCTCAGAACTGGAAGATCAGTGAAGAAGTCACAGAGAAGGAGATATTATAGGACAGGACAGGTAGAGGGACCAGCAAGAACAGACACAGAGGCATAAGAGGGCAGGCACACTAGGGAGGGACATTCAGTGTCCCTGAAGTTGGATATATATGGCCAGTGACAGGAGATAAGGTTGGGAAGGTAGGAAGGAACAAAAGTGGAGGCTTTCGAAGGGCTATGTTTACTCACCATGATTTCAAACTTGTTAAGATTTCAAGCTAGGAAATAACATGACCAGATTTGCATTTTAGGATATATCCTGGAGAAGTATATGGAAACTTCTAGAGGTAGACACCACTTCAGAGGCTAAAGTAGAAATCTGGGGTCTAAATTAGGGCAATGGAGGAAGGAAGAGGCAGGAGAGTGTAACCTAAAACTAAAATCCTAAGCTCCCCAGGTGACTGAACAGACCTCCTGTTGGCCAAGGAGACCCCAGAAAAACCTTACAACTGAATTCCTGGCCATAAAGGTACACCTCAATATACCCTCTCCCTTTTGGTGTTTAGACTAATTAAAAACAAGACCTAAAGCCATGCAAGGCAAAGGTTAAGTCACATCTGCATGCCATCAATTTGTTTAACTGATCACTTTGAGTTGGTATGTTGTGGATTGCCCTCTGATTAGCAGACCCCCTTAACTCCTTTCCACTGACTCCAAGTCTTTAGACAGCACTTTATTTCTTTAACCAATTACATATCAAACAATCTCTGAACTCATAACCTGTAAGCCCTCCCTTCTCATTTTTTAAAAATTTTACAGTGATATGTCTTGGGGTGTTTCATGTCATCTTTTGTGTTGACACTTGTTGGACCTTTGTAATCTAGGAACTCATATCCTTTAACACTAAGGAAAATTTTCTTTAATTATTCTTTTGAAGATTTTTCTCAGCTTTGTGCAGTGGCAGTATTGTAGCCACTGAGGTTTATCTGAGGCACAATTATTGCTAATTGAAAAGTTTTCCCAATACCCAGGCATGATGACTTGTTATATAGTAGGATTGGCAACTTTTGATAACTCTACAGAGACTGAATTAAAAAATTTTTTTTTCTCTCCATTTTTCCTTTTCTCTCTTTCTGGATATCCTGGATACTTTTCAGATAACTAGCCTCCTGGACTATTCTTTTCATTTTCTTTCTCTCTCTTTCTCTTTTCCTATTTAATTTTCTTATATTATCTTTTCATTTTTAATTCTATTTTATTTTTCTCTACTTTCTGGAAGATTTCCTAAGCTTTACCTATCACATATTCCATTGAAGTTTTCATTTCTATTATAAATTTAGTTTCTAAGAGCCCTCGTTTTCTGACTGTATCTTAATTATAGCATAATCATATTTTTTCATGTATGCAATATTTTATTTAATGACATTACTAACAATGTTTTAACGTTTTCTTCTCCTGCATAATCCCTGTTTCTTCATAGTTATGTTTTGTGTTAAGGGCTTTCCTCCTAAATCTGATGACCCTTTGCTATTCACACACATACAAAAGTGGGTCAGGCTGAGAAGCTAATTAGGAGCTCTACAAAGACAGGGCTTGCTGATTGGGCTACAATATGTAGGGTCATCCGCCTGGGCTGTTTCATAGGAGAATTCCTCATTCTTCCCACCCCCACTCCCTACCCCATCATGCTGATCAAATTCCCCAGAAAGATTCTTCTCCCTGGAGATTTTAAGCCTGGCTGAAGATTTTAGTGGGGAAAGAGGATGTGAGTTTCATCATTCACATCACCTCCTTCATTTATATATAGAACCCCTGATTGGAATTGTACCCATTGTCGCCTAGTCATACTCTCTCCAGAGATTAAACCTTCAATCTTCTGTTGGAGTTGGGGAAAGACAGGTTTCTAGGTACCAGAAGGAAAGAGAAGATGTACATCTTAAGTGCTTTATTGATTGATGTTCAATCAATTCTTCTTTCACTCTCCCTCCCCAACAGATGGTATCAATGCCTCCTAAGCCATTGAGGACTTCTTTGTTGTGTATCATTCTTAGCTTTTCCCACTGTCAATTTAGGATACAACCCTCCTAGATTCACATAAGAAATGATCATCTGCTTCCTGCTTGCAAAGTTTTGTTGCTGTTGCCTCCTAGTCTCTTCTCTTTATTCAGTTTTTGCCTTAGTTTCTTTACTATTATTTGTTAGGCTTTCTGGAAGAAATAGAAATAAATACCTGTGCTTAAACAGTTGCTTTCAACTGGAAGCTAAAATAACCTGTTAACCTGTCTTCATGGACACACTCTTGCCATCCTCTAATCCATTCTCCATAACACAGCTGGAGTAATCTTTTGAAATACAAGTCAATATGTCACCTTTCTGCTTAAGAGTTCACTGGTTTTTTCAATGGAAAGTTCAAAGTCTTTAACATGAACCATAACCCTCAGCATGGTCTGACTTCTTCCTGCAGCGTAGCATTGTCCTGTGAACTGGTCTTCTTTCCCTTCTCTGAATGCTGCCAAGTCCTTGCACTTCTCTGCCTGGATCATTCCTTTCCCTCCCTCCCCTTCTCAGCAATTTTCATTTACCCAATTTACTTTGTTAACTCCTCCTTTCCTTGCAACTTATTCATTACTTCCTTAAGGAACATCTCCTGCCCTTCCTGACCAGCCCAGGCTCTCCTCTGAAATACTTTTACAGCAACATGTACTTCTTTTTTTATAGTGCTTCTCCCTGTGGTAAATGTACATTTAGTTGGGTAATTCTTTCATTGGTTTTTCTTCCCACTCCTGGACTGCAAGCTTCGTGAGAGCAAGGATCATGTGTATTTTTGTTCACCACTGTCTCCTCAGCGATGGCACTGGGCCTGGCACATTGTAAGCATGTAAGACATCTGTTGCAATGGAAAAAAATAAATCCAAACTTGCCTAATTCCTTTCATTCCCCTAGTTTATTGCCAACTTCCAAACTCTAAGCAAAGCTCAATGCTTTCTCTTCTCATTTCATCTTTGGGAAGACGGGAGAGAGCCAATGTGGGTTAGGGTCAGGACTGCGAGGTTTCTGGCTATAGTCCTAAGGGACAGAATTTTTTTGTGTCCATATGACATGGTCTGCGGACTCACAATTTTTGGTTTTCTCCTTAGATTGTCTCTTCAGAATTTGTCTTTAGATTCTTAGGTATTTCTTCCTTTTGTTTTATATTAATATACCTGGGATTAGATGCAATCCCAGGGAAAGGAAGCCTTAGCAGAAAGAGACTTCCAGTTTCACATGTGGTCTTGCCCCATTCACTAGAAATGAGTTCTACCGAGATTTGAGATCCAAAGCTTCAGCAGTAAAATACAGTGTCCTTTCTACATTCCTCTTTTGCTAACCTTTAGCATTGATAGAGTGTCAATATCCCAGTCTCTTTAATCTTTCCATCCTGGAGACAAGACCCACATTTACCTCAGGCAAGAAATTATTTAGGATGGAATTTGGGGGGTCCTGTTCAATTCTTTTTTTTTTTTTTTTAAGTGCAAAGTGAGAAACTCCACCTGTTCAATTCTTAATTACCACATATCATTAGTTGACTCTGTTAAGTCTTTGGAACCTGACTTCTGTCACATACAACTGACCAAGCTCCTTAATTTAATCAGCAGTGTCCAAATTGTGCTTCAGTGATTCCTAGGGTTTTTGTAGTGCTATCTCTGAGGACCATTGCAGAGGACAAGTTGGCAAGCAGTATGACATCCATCAGAGCAACATGTAAGATTTCATGTTACATGCCTTTCTTGGTGCTTTACAATGTGCCTTACTTAGTGATACATATGTATATGTGTGTGTGTGTATGTATATATATATATATATATAGTCATTTTATCTACACAACCCTACTATTGTCATCTTCATTTGATAGATTAAGAAATTGAGGCATGGGCCTCAAGTAGTGGTTCACACCTGCAATCCTAACACTCCAGGAGACCAAGGGGGAGGATTGCTTGAGGTCAAGAGTTCAAGACCAGCCTGAGCAAGAGCAAGACACACATCTCTGCTAAAAAATAGAAAATAGTAGCTGGCCTCGGCGGCATGTGTCTGTAGTCCCAGCTACTACGGAGGCTGAGGCAGGAGCATGGCTTGAACCCAGGAGTTTGAGGCTGCAGTGAGCTATGATGACGCCACTGCACTCCAGCCTGGATGACAGAGAGACCCTGTGTCAAAACAAAACAAAACAAAACAACCCACAAATTGAGACACAGAAAGATTCAGCAACTAAAGTGATACAGCTAGTAAGTGCCAGAGTTATATTTGGAATTATGATAAGAATATCATAATTCTGGGCCAGCCTTCTCGATTTCTAAATTATACCGGAATTTATTGTGTGCTAGGACTGTGCTAAGTGTTTTATAAGCATCATTTATTTTTCCACAACTGCCCTATATGGTGGGTACTATTATCTTCACTCACATTTCTACGGCCTTTTATAGTTTACAAGAGCCTTTCAGAAGATGCTTTACGCCGCACACTAACTGAAACACCTAAGAGACAAAAAGCCAACTTTTCTCCGCATCTGCATCTGTTTCCTCAACTCCTGGAAATCTCGAACGTTTGCCGGTGTCCTTCGGCAAATATCTAGTGAAGATTCTCGTTACGACAACCGGTCGAGCCCTAACTATGCCTCCGGATATCTCCTTTTGGAGGGCGAGGTTCCCGCGCCAGGGAGGACCTGGGCATGCGCGGAAGCTCACCAAACGCGGGGCCCCGCCTCCCTTCCGCTAACAGGGGAAGCGAGGTGGCGGCAGGGCGCGTGCGCAAGCGCGGCCGAGGCGTCGGGGCGGTGGGTTACGCCGGGAGAGCGCATGGGCAGACAAACTGTACGTCCGTTTGTCCGGGCTGGAGGGGCGAGTGGGCGCCATTTTCTTCTAGGCTCACTGAGGGCTCTACGTGTTCTGGGGAGGCTGCTGCGACGAGGAGCGCCCTCAGCCCCCGGTCTTGTGTGTCCGGCTCGGCAGCAGTGGTGTGTGTTTACTGCCAAGTGCGAAGCAGTTTCCCTTGGGGCGTCGGGGCTGGGGAGGGGTTTGCGACCCAGCCGGAAGAGCAGGGAAAGGCGGGGCCGGCGGCCGCGCCGGGATCTAGCGTAGCTTCTGCCGTTAGGGCACCGTCTTTTCTTGCTAAACACCGACTCTCCCTCTTCCGTCAGCTTCCGTGTGGTGGTGTGTGTGCGCTTCCCAGTGATCTTGAGAGTGAAGATCTCGGAGGATTTCATAGGTATTTTTTTTCTTTGCTGTGTCATCGTAGTTTTTGGTGGTAGATAAATGCTGAAGGCCCAGCTCGTTAGGCTTGAGAAGGGCAAGTGTGTAAATCAGGTTTGGGGGCATGCCGTTCACCCTCTGGCGAGTTAGGGCGGAATGCTTGCCCTTGGGACGGCGTAACGGAAAGGCGCGGAGGCTGGGCGGTCCAGGTTAATGTGAAGGCTGATTTTGGCTGAAGGTATGGCGACAACATCGGATCCCACGTAGCAACTTTGGCCTGGCGCGAAAGAAGGAAGCTCTGACCCCTGGGAGTGTGGACAAAGGCTTTGGGCTGTAGAATCGATGCCTTCGGATGATCCCGTTTGAGGAGGATGGATGTTGTGGGAACCCCTGTGCCGCGTGGATTCATCTTCATTTACAGTTCCTCTTAAGCTCTGTGTGGCCATACTTTTGGTTTTTATTTTAACCATCTACATTATAAAAGGCAGATCATCGTGAAGAATAATTGTGGACTGGGGTAGACTTTTCTGCAGGGGAAACTCACGTTCAGAATCTGAAATGCTACATCATAACTGGGTTTGAAGCAATTAGTCGCAAAGAGTAAAAGCTTTCTTTCCCTCACTATGTCTGTAAAATGACTTTTTATTCGCTAGTTAAAAATTAAATGGATCTGAGATAATGCCTATTTAAATTCAGCCTCCCTTCTGTTTCCCATTCCTTGTCCCTCTCGGTCTTGATTAGAAGATGCAATTTTCATGTTTTTTAGTTATAATGGTAATTAAGTGGGATGAATCGCTGGATAAAATCAGCAAAGTTATTTAAAATGCACTTTTAATTTCAGTGACTTACCCTTACATGAGCTTTTAGGGATCCACTTTCTTTTCATTGAAGTGTAACAGATTACTGTGTCTTTAAATGAACACAAAGTCACAAAAATACTTTTTTTATTCATTTCTAGAAAAATGTAAGTGCGGAGTACTTTAAGGTAATTTGTATGTTTTGCTTTTTGCATAATTTAATCTGTTAAGAATATAATTTCTGGGGAATTTGCTTAATTAAATAGAATATTGGAACCACAGGGCAAATGCTCATTTGGGGAGCTGGCCTCATATGTAGGTAGTCAGTCTCCTCAGTGTGTTATTATAGAAAGATAAATGACACATTACCCTCTTATCTCAAGGGCAGAGAATTTAAGTGTTAGTTATATCTAACTAGCATATTAGAACAAACTTTTAAAATAGTCTGCTTGAATTGGAATTCATGAGATTTGTGTTTATGAAACTACTTAGTTGAAAAATTATTTTTAAGTCAGGGAGAATAAATTACTAGAGATTTTTTTTTGAATTTGACTTATAATTATTCCTTGAAATGTTTGTTTTTTCTTATAAATGAATTTATGTTCTCAGGGTAAATCCTTTTTAAATTTCTAAAAAAGTTTAGGTGAGACAAAATGATGTGTATCTTCATGCTGTTCTCTAAAATATCTTAAAAGTAGCTAAGCCAGTTTCCATAGGAGGGAATCTTGGGCCTTTAATGTGGATTTAGTGTTCCAGAAGCCATGTTTACAGTTTTTGTTGAATTGTTGGTGTGGATATTGGTTTGTGGAAGAAACTAGGCTTATACTCTTTTTTTGTTTGGTACTGTGCAGATATTTTAATTGTAAACCTCATTAATATATTTCAGATGCAGAAAGTAATTTCTTGATATCTTTGTTAGTTTAGCATGTAGTTTAAAATGTTTAATTTATGGACCCTTTTTTAAAGGAAAACAAACCTTGCAGACCTCAGTGAATGTCTTCGGACCCCACTTTGTGGAACAGTAGTACTTCAGTGTAAGTACTGGATTAAAGCAACATTTACTTGCACTTTAAAAACATGTATATTATAATTATTAATTTGGCAGGTCTTAAAAACTTACTTGGTAAGACTTCATTAAATCCTGTTAGTTTGGGTATCTCTGAAAGTATTAGATGCAAGTTTCCTTATAAAAATACTACATTGAGATTTTTCAGTAAACTGGTAATCCCAATATTCCAGATCAATGAAATTTTATTGTATTTTTACTTTTCTACATTGTCATTTAGGTTTCCTCAATAGAGCGCAGGATAGTTGTTTGAAATGGAATAAGGCTGTTGGCATAATACAATTCTATATCTCAGCATTTTCTGTTTGGCTTGAGATGGATTTTAATAGCTACTGTTTTAGGAGAATGAGATATGTAGTACTGAGATTTTTGGTTTTAGGGATATTGTAGTAGTTGCCTTAATTATATTGGAGTCATGAAATTTGTTTCCATGTTTGGAAGTGTGAGTTGTATATGTAGAACTTTAAATTGTATCTGTTTGGTAGCCATAGGTTTGGATTTATTGCTTTAAAAATTGATTTTTGAATTTTAAGCTTTGCTGTTTTCTTCATTTATTGTATCATTTTGAATGGTTGTTATATTTACTTGATTTGGTCTTAATGTTTTGAAAGGGAGAATAGCAAGATAATTGGATGGCAAAGTGATTGAAGGTCTTTTTTTTTTTTTTGAATTTTTATTATTAAATTGACATTTTACTTGTAGAACAGTTTTTTTTAAAGTGGATGTAAAAATTCCAGACAGCAAAGTGCATAGACCTTAAAGGATAGAATTCACTGAACCTTGACAAATATATACATTCATGTATCCAGCACTGTATTCAATATATGTAACATTTCCCTGACTGGTTCTACTTCTAATTAAGGAGTAGTTTAATTTTTAGCAAATGTTTTATTTTGTTATCATGTTTACTTGGATATCACACCTCTTTTTTGCAGAAGGATGATTAGTTTCCCCTTAGAACAAAGAAGACCATTTTGTAATGGCCTAATTGTGGTTCCTTATATTGCTTCACTTTTGATAGGTAATTCTGAAATGGATATCCTAATCTGGCATTAAGATAAATTATAGGGTTCAAGGATTAATTGTATTTCATTTTCTTTCCACAGTTAAGTTGCTTTTACAGAATTAACAGGTCTCCAAGAAATAAAAAAAAAAAAAAAAAGGTAAGATATCTAGAGTTTAAGGTTTTTCACAGAGGCTTAACAGAAAACCCTATACAACAGAATAATACTTTTAGGTACCCAGAGCTTCTGTTCTTTATGTCTGGCCAGGGATACACTAGTGGTAGGCATTTTATCATCATGAGCAGCAGTTGTATACTAATCATAGATGGCTTTTCTAAATATGTAAAATTCATTGTAGTTGGTAAAATACTTTAGTTCACAAAGGTCTCTCATGTTTCAGTAGAAGATAATGTTTTTAAATTAGTCTGAAAGTAGTTTGGTTTTGTTGTGAAGCAGCATTTGGCATACTTACAAAGGAAGATTTGATATTTTTGATGTTCTTCATTTAAAGAATAGGAAATATCATCAAGGTAGTTGGTTTATTTGTATGTTTAGATGGGAGAAAGTTTATTCTTTGTTATCTTTAATAATTAGATATGATCAATATTTTTGTGAACTTGTATCTTGTTTTCATTTATAAATGCTGAAGGAAGCAGGAACCAGGTAATTGTTAAGTTTGTTTGGGCTAAGGTACGTAAAAAATAAGACTTGCTATTATGTGTACCTTTTTGTCTGCAGGTCATTATTGCTGTGGTTTGAGCTCAGCATGGCTGTAGTCATCCGTTTACTTGGGCTTCCTTTTATTGCGGGGCCTGTGGATATTCGTCACTTCTTCACGGGATTGACTATTCCTGATGGAGGAGTGCATATAATTGGAGGGGAAATTGGGGAGGCTTTTATTATTTTTGCAACAGATGAAGATGCAAGACGTGCCATAAGCCGTTCAGGAGGGTTTATCAAGGATTCATCTGTAGAGCTCTTTCTTAGTAGCAAGGCAGAAATGCAGAAGATTATAGAAATGAAAAGAACTGATCGTGTGGGAAGAGGGCGACCAGGATCTGGGGCATCAGGGGTTGGCAGCCTATCTAATTTTACTGAGGCAATTAAGGAAGAAGCAAGTAATTCTGGATATGGCTCTTCGATGAATCAAGATGCTGGGTTTCATACTAATGGTACAGGACGTGGTAATTTAAGGCCAAGAAAGACAAGGCCATTGAAGGCTGAGAATCCTTACTTGTTTCTACGAGGTTTGCCTTACTTAGTCAATGAAGATGATGTACGTGTCTTTTTCGCTGGTTTGTGTGTGGATGGAGTAATTTTCCTAAAACATCATGATGGCCGAAATAATGGCGACGCCATAGTAAAATTTGCTTCATGTATTGATGCTTCAGGAGGTCTTAAATGTCATAGAAGTTTTATGGGTTCGCGATTTATAGAAGTAATGCAAGGATCAGAACAACAGTGGATTGAGTTTGGTGGTAATGCAGTTAAGGAAGGTGATGTTCCTATGAGATCTGAAGAACGTTCTCCACCAAGAGGAATTAATGATAGACATTTTCGAAAATGGTCTCATTCAAAATCTCCAAGAAGAACACGTTCTCGTTCCCCTCTTGGATTTTATGTTCACTTAAAAAATCTGTCCCTAAGTATTAATAAAAGAGATTTAAGAAATTTCTTTAGAGATACTGATCTGACTAATGAACAGATTAGGTTTTTATATAAAGATGAAAGAAGAACAAGATATGCCTTTGTGATGTTCAAGACTCTGAAAGACTATAATACTGCTCTGGGTTTACATAAGACTGTTTTACAATATCGTCCAGTTCATATTGATCCAGTTTCTAGAAAACAGATGCTGAAATTCATTGAATGTTATGAAAAGAAGAAACCAGGGTCAATAGAGAAAGAGAGGCCTGGACATGTTACACAAAAATACTCTCAAGAAGGCCACTCTGGCCAGAAGCTGTGCATATATATAAGAAATTTTCCATTTGATGTTACAAAAGTTGAAGTGCAGAAGTTCTTTGCAGACTTTTCTCTTGCTGAAAATGACATTTACTTGCTTTATGATGACAAAGGAGTTGGTCTGGGAGAAGCATTGGTGAAATTTAAATCAGAAGAACAGGCTGTGAAAGCCGAACGTTTAAACCGTCGAAGATTCTTAGGGACAGAGGTATTATTAAGACTTATATCTGAGGCACAAATGCAGGAGTTTGGTGTAAATTTTTCCTTGATGTCCAGTGAGAAAATTCAAGTTCATTCACAGTCATGTGATAGAGATGACCATTCCCATGTATTTAACTCAAAAGATGCACCAGCATACTCAGTTGGCCCTTCTGAAAACTTTAGACATCAGCTAGACGACTTGAGGCAAGTGGATAACTTCAAGCATCCCCAAGGGGATTTCCGACAGCCAGATAGGCGCCCTCCAGAAGACTTCAGGCACTCTTCAGAAGATTTCAGGTTCCCCCCAGAGGAGTTCAGGCGCTCTCCAGAGGAGTTCAGGCGCCCCCCAGAGGACTTCAGGCGCCCCCCAGAGGACTTCAGGCGCCCTCGGAAGGAGCACTTCAGGAGGCCTTCTGAGGAGGACTTCCGCCGCCCATGGGAAGAGGACTTCAGGCACCCCCCAGAGGATGACTTCAGGCACTCTAGGGAGGAGGACTGGAGGTGGCCTCATGAGGAGGATTGGAGGCGGCCATTGAAGGAGGATTTCAGGCGGTCTCCCAAGGGGGACTTCAGGCAGCTTCCTGAAGAGGACTTCAGGCAACCCTCTGAAGAAGACTTCAGGTGGCCTGCGGAAGGAGATTTCAGACGGCCACCTGAAGAGGACTGGAGACGGCCACCTGAGGTGGACTCGAGGCGGCCACCTGAGGTGGACTCGAGGCGGCCACCCGAGGAAGACTTCCGGAGGCCCTCAGAAGAGGATTTCAGGCATTCCCCTGAGGAAGACTACAGGCATTTGCCCCAGGAGCATTTCAGACGGCCATCCCAGGAGCACTTCCGGCGGCGGCCCCCAGAGTATTTCAGGCGACCACCTCCGGAGCACTTCAGGCGGCCGCCCCCGGAGCACTTTAGACGGCCACCCCCGGAGCATTTCAGGCGTCCACCCCAGGAGCATCTCAGGCGCCCGCCCCAAGAGCATTTCAGGCGTCCACTGCAGGAGCATTTCAGGCGCTCCCGAGAGGAAGAGTTCAGGCACCCACCAGATGAAGACTTCAGGGGCCCTCCTGATGAAGACTTTAGGCACCCTCCGGATAAGGACTTAAGAAGCCCCCAGGAGGAAGATTTTAGATGCCCTTCTGATGAGGACTTCAGGCAGCTCCCTGAGGAAGACCTTAGGGAAGCTCCAGAGGAGGACCCTAGACTTCCCGACAATTTTAGACCTCCTGGTGAGGATTTTAGGAGCCCGCCTGATGATTTTAGAAGTCATCGCCCTTTTGTGAATTTTGGTCGCCCAGAAGGTGGCAAGTTTGATTTTGGAAAGCATAATATGGGAGGTTTTCCTGAGGGGAGATTTATTCCTGATCCAAAGTTAAATTGTGGTTCAGGTAGAGTAACTCCTATTAAGATAATGAATCTTCCATTTAAAGCTAATGTTAATGAAATTTTAGACTTTTTCCATGGTTATAGAATCATACCCGATTCAGTTTCGATACAGTATAATGAGCAAGGATTACCTACAGGGGAAGCCATTGTTGCTATGATAAACTATAATGAAGCTATGGCTGCTATTAAAGATCTAAATGATAGGCCAGTTGGCCCCAGAAAAGTTAAGTTAATTTTGCTCTAGAGAGCATTTCTGAATTCAGAGTTAATCTTCCTCCCACAGTATTGATGCAGTAAAATACATTTGTTTTTTAAGTGTTTATTTTTAATTATCTAATGAAAAGAAATACTTTAATTTTGACCTGTGAATAGAACAAATGTAAATTGTAGAATGTGAATCTGGTTTTCTTCTGCTTGCAAATTGATGTTCATTTTTTCTAATTTAAAATTATATATGCTTTTTTTTTAAATTCCCTGACAAGAAAGAACTAATTCCGTGAGTTCATTAATTTTTGTTGATGTCATGGTTAAACCTCAAGACTTACATAAAGTAGAGTTGTATTATTTGGGGAAGATAAATTTTATATTTACTTTTATTTCATTCTGTAGTCTATATCTTTTACTCAAACTGTATAAGGAAATAGTCAGTGACTGATTGTTCAGGTTTGGCATTTTCATTGCTACCTGCCTGCAGAATTAATGCCCTTTTCCTTGTCTGAGATATTACTGTGTTAAGACTCCTGTTAATTATAAGTAGTTCAAAATGGACAGACTGTCAACTTGAAGTTTACTTATGTAAAAAGCTTAGGTGATTCTTAAGGTTTCCATGTTCATAGCTTTGCAAACTTTTATAAAAATAAAATATTGCAACCAAATAGAGCAACTAATTAACTTGTATTTGTATAAAAAGAAAAAAGAATTGCAGGTTGGTATTGTTAAGTTTTTCAACAATTACATTAAACTATAATTATGGGAGGGACCAAACATTCTATAATAATAATGTGTAGTCCTGTGTATATTCTATGGTTTCTTCAATATCTTATCAACATAATTGATAAGATTAACACAAAATACCTGAAAGAAAAAATAATGTAATTATAGGTACAAGGGGACTCTCAGGCTTTTGCTGGCAAGAATCTTGACAATTGGGTATAGTATTTTTCTAGGAAGAATTTACTGATGATTCATATAACATGCATGAAATACTAGGTTCTCATTTTTTAGCTTCAAAAACATATCCATTCAAAGACTCTGTAGCTAATTAAGACTTGTGAGATTGAATTTTGACTTCCTTGATAGTCAACATTTAGTGTATACATTTTGCAAATAGTGAATTTGATTTTTCTATACCCATAATAATAATAATAATAATAATAATGGCTAACTTTCACTAGGCACTTACTATGTGCTAGGCACTATAAACGCTTTACATGCATAATCTAGGTATACCCCTAGTAAGTACAGAGGTGAATATTTACCTTTATTTCACAAATGAGATAATGAAGTTGGAGGTTAAGCGACTTGCCTAAAATCACACATAGTAAATCACAGAGCCAGTTTCAACCCAGATCAACCACCGACTCCAGTTCATACTCTTAATACTTTTCTGCCTCACTTTGTTAAATGGTACTTTTAATTTTAGTAAAACTATGCTAAAGCTATTTTGAAGGGTAAATGATATTTTACTTCCATTGTTGGTTTAAAAAATAGCATTAGAAAAAGATAAAACTAGGGTGCTCAAACACTTAAGAAAAAGTCACTTTAAAAGTTTTTATATAACCAGGGTTTCTTTTGGGGTACATTACATATTAGATTCTATTTCAGTATTATTCATTGTATCCAATATGATTTGACTGTGCTGGCCTTTTATAGCTTATAGAAAACATAATTTTCATCAGTTCTATAATCCAGAGATTTTCCAGATTGAGTAAATAAGAATAAAATTGAGTTTATATGTGGTAGTTTAGTCATTTAATAATAGGATATGGCAGAGGTAGAATACTTTGTCAGTACCTATTCAATTAGTACCTATAAGTATTTTGCATTAATTTTCAGTGATATAAAGAAATCTAAGAAGTCTACATAAATTTCTGTCTTTGTTTTTAATAGTGAATATCCTGCTTACTAATAGAATGAATAAACTGGTAAATTGGTTCAAAAAGCACTTAAGTATGTCTCTTTAAACTAGTAAGCTTTTAAATAGCTTGGAGAATGATAAACTGATTGGAATATCCAAATCTAGCATAATGAACAAAATAGGAAGAAATGATATTTTTAATTGCTCAAAGATTATAGATAGTTCATTTATCAGTCTTCTTGAGTAATATATGGAAGATTTAAAAACACTGCTCAAATACAAAGATGAAGCTTAAAGTGAAAGATCACTAAATGTGGAATTGCTTCTCAAACTGTCCTGGGGTGATGGTAGTGGTGGATAAGAGGCCAGCTATAGTAAACACAACCTTTGTATTATAATTTTAAAATTAATTGATGTGAATATTTCATTTTATTCCATAATATGTTGCAGTTTAATTTTTTTAACTTCATTATACAAATTTTATTATAGAAATCTGCTGTCTACTGGTTGGGAGATATTTTTGCACATCTCTTTTCAACTCTGCCTTTAGTGATACGTCAATATCTTAAATTGGCCATGCTAGGAGTATCTGCACCATGGAAATTGGTAAATGCAGCAGATCAAGGATTCTATTCCTTTTATCCCTCCCCCTTCTCCAGCCAGTTTACCAGCACATTACCAATTTCAAACTTAAAAGGGTACTAAAAACTAAAAGTGTACTAAATTCTTATTTACTCATCATCCAGCTTCAATAATTATCATCTCATAGCTAGTTTTTTCTCTCTCCTATCACCAGATAGATATACCAGGTACACACTAGGCATATATTGGTGTTCTATTGTGAAATGCACTAGATGTCTCGATGCCAAACATTTTTGTCTAGAAAGTATCTGAAAAATATAGGTCATATCTAGGAAGTTAATCCCATAATGAAGAGATAGGTAAATACCATATTAGGAGTGTACTTCTATTGGTTTACTGAAAACACTGTCTAGAGCCTTGGCTCCTGATCCATGTATCACCTATTAAGCAGCTATTGCCCCTGTTGCCTCTTATCTTTGCATTAAATACTAACTATTTATTGAGATGCATTAGATACTATATTTATGAAATATTTATGATCTTATATATGAATATATGTATTAACTATTTTTTAATCCTGATAATCCTTATAGGTTGAGTATCCCTAATTTGAAGATCTAAAATGCTGCAAAATCCCAAATTTTTGAGTGCTGACATGATGCTCAAAGGAAATGCTCACAGGAACACTTTGGATTTCAGATTTTTGGATTAGGGATGCTAAACTGGTAAAATGAAAATACTCCAAAATCCAAAAAATTCAAAATCTGAAATACATCTGGTCCCAAGCATTTTGGATAAGGGATACTCAACCTGTGTTCCTGATTTGGAAGTAAGAGGTGGAAACTTAAAGACTAAGTAAGGCTGTAAGTCTCCATCTTATTAATATAACCTGGGTTGGTTGCCTGTTTTTTTTTTTTTTTAACAGCAGGGAAGCTAAGAATGGTTTATATATTTTTAAATGTGGTGACATCATAAATGGCTACGTTAAGTACACATATAATAGCCTTGATTTTTGCTTCTTGGCCCACAAAGGGTAAAAATTTTTACCATCTGGCCCTTTAAGAAGAAGCTTGCCAACCTAGGACTGGTCTTAATAATGAAACTTAATTTTACATTGATGAACGTATTTTCTTTTTTTTTTTATTAACAGTTTTTCAGCAGATATGATGAATGTATTTTCATTGATAGTATTCCTTTTGTTCTTAGGGTATTTCTTTGTGGTAGGCAGAGCATACTTTTTATTCCAGAATTTATTTGTTGATTCCTTTATGTATTAACTTTACGATAAGGCAGATGATGCTCAAGAGAAGTTGCTGTTTAGGAAGCAGCAAGTATTATTATAACAACTCTGTTTTTTTCCCCTGAACTACTAACTGAGGAAGTAACAAAAATCCAATGATATCCTTAGTTTCTTAAGAATGTCAATTTATTTAGGATTTTAAAATGTTTTGAATATTTTATTTAAAAAAGTATTGAAGTAATTTTATCACTTTGAGCTATTCTCAAGAAGCAGTGCTTTGTTAAGAACAGAACCATGGGCCGGGTTCGGTGGCTTATGCCTGTAATCCTAGCACTCTGGGAGGCTGAGGCCGGTGGATCCTTTGAACTCAGGAGTTTGAGAGGAGCAAGAGCAAGACCCCCTCTCCACTGAAAAATAGAAATTAGGTGGACAACTAAAAATATATAGAAAAAAATAAGTCGGGCATGCCTGTAATTCCAGCTACTTGGGAGGCTGAGGCAGGAGGATTGCATGAGCCCAGGAATTTGAGGTTGCTGTGAGCTAGGCTGACGCCATGGCACTCTAGCCCGGGCAACAGAGTAAGACTCTGTCTCAAAAAAAAGAACAGAACCATGAATGACAAAGTCAAAAAAGCTTTTTAGAAAATCTTTATTTTTCTGTTATGAATAATTGCTTTTTCTGGTTATTCCAAATAATTTTATAAATTCCATAATTTTTATATTCCTGACTGGGATCCATGAAATAAAAGTATAATTCTTCACCAAAAGAAACAAAAGCATCAGATACTGGAAGGCTCTGTTTTATATTTTCAGGAATAAGAGTAATAACTGCATACCCTTTTATGAACAAGATGGTAGTTTGGTAAAATTTTTATAGAATTTTTAATGATTTATGGTGTTCCATGATGAGGCAGCATTCTACCAAATTAGTACCTTCCAAAAGTTGCAGTACCATGTATAATACTTAAGTATTTAACAGCAGTTTTGTTTTAAATTGAGAATAGGTTGAATGTGGCTTTTTTTAAAGCCAAAATTTATGCTTTATATCATAGTGTCCCATTACCTATATTAATTATACTTGTTGAAAAGTAAATTTACATGTCAAATGATGAAACAAGATTTTAGTAAAAGTAAAAAAAAAAATCCAATTTTTTACTTAAGGCTTAATGGAATAGAATTTTTATGTAACCAGAATGACTGCATAGGACCCTTTTCTGGTGATGAAAGCATGGAGTCTTAACCTAAAAGAAGCTAAGTGGAATTGTTAGTTCCTTGAGTTTTTGTCATCTCCCTACTATTGCAGCTTCAACTAGGTACAGTGCATTAATACCTTTGAAATACATAACGTTTTTTAAAAAGTGGAACTTACACAAAATGATCACGTATCAGGATGTTGAAAAGACTGATGTGTAACATTTTTTAAAAACCTTCATTTTTGGTAAGTGTAAATTGCCTTTAATTATTTTTCAATTTCTACTAGGATTTTGTTTTGAGATTTTAACATTGAGTATAAAGTTTTACAGTTTATTAATCCTGGATTTCAAGTTACTTAAGATGAAAATGGAAATGTGAAGTTTACTTAAGAAAATTAATTTTCTTCTTCTGTAATATCTAACTCGTCATCTTCATCATCATCTTCTGTTTGTTGATCCTTTCTTAGTCGACAGGTAGATACCTGTTAAAAGTTAACATATTTTTTAAAAATAAAAAATACTAACTTAAATAATATTTTACATGCTTGGTATCTTTCTCTATGCACTTAAAGAAAAGGGCACACAACAGTTATTTTAGAAAATGTCCATATATTTTTAGTAATGAAAATTAAGTTTAAAAAGTTTTTTTCATTTACTTATATTTTTTGCATAAAAATGTAAATTAGGCTGGGCACAGTGGCTCATGCCTGCAATTGTAGCACTCTGGGGGCTGAGGTGGGAGGATCGTTTGAGACCAGAAGTTGCAGACCAGCCTGAGCAAAAGTGAGACCTGACTCTACAAAATATAGAAAAATTAGCCAGGCTTGGTGGCATACGCTTTTGTAGTCCCAGCTACTGGAGAGGCTGAGACAGGAGAATTGCTTGAGCCCAGGAGTTTGAGGTTGCAGCAAGCTATGATGATACCACTGCACTCTAGCCCAGGCAACAGAGCGAGACTATCTCAAAACCAAACAAACAAACCCCAAATAAAAAAGAAATTAACCGTTTGATTCCAGCTGGATAGCTACTGGTACTTCAATATACTATGAATATTAAAAATAATACAATTTGTGGGTCACAAAAACAGTATTTGAATGAGTTATCAAATGCATGGCAAAAACACAAGGATATTTCAAGTAGGCAGTGGACGGAAATACATAATAGTGGATTTATATGGAATGAGTTAAGAATCTGAATTCACCAGCATTAAGACATTGTTGGTTGTTACAACTGAAGGTGTATGTTTGTATGTGCTACTAGCATCTTGTAGATAGAGCTAGGGGATGCTGCTCAGTACCTTTACAATGTACAGGATGCACTCCCTCTTCTCTCTCCACAGTTGCAGTTACCTGGCCCAAAGTCAATAGTGCTGAGGTTGAGAAACTCTGGGCTAGATAATACTTCTAAAGTGCTATACAAATGATAGCAAACTTAGGTAACATTTCTAAATAGTCAACATTTTATATGTAATATAATAGTAAATTTATGGAATTTGTGTACAAAGTACTTAATGCTGGGAATAATAAAAATATAATTTGGTTAGGTGGAAGACACATAAATATAAAGATAAATGCTTGGGAGAATTATGAAAATAAAAGATAATGGGGTCAAATTTGCCTATTAATAAAAGCTGTATTTTGTCCAATTTAAAATTTTGAAGATTAGATAAGAAAAGGGTTCTCTAGATTGGGTTTTGGTAAGTTGTGGCCCAGCCTGAACTTCTGTTTTTGTAAATAAATATTTTATTAGAACACAGTCTTACTGACTTATTTATGTGTGTTTATAATTGCTCTTGGTTAGGACAGACCATATGGCACCTGAAGTCTAAGATACTTAACTTTCTACCCCTTACAGAAAAAGGTTTTCAACCCCTGCTCTAGATACTGGGTAACTCAGGCTTTCTGGATATAGAAGAAATGAGATAATTTCTATGATGTTCAGCAAAAGCCCTTTTAAGGTGTAATTTCTGGATCCACTAAGTCTTGACAGTGAGATTTAAACCTAAGCCATTTGACTTCAGAATTTATGTTCTTCATGTTATAACAGTTAGCAAATCTACATTAACATTCTTGTCCACCTCTGCTCTCAAGTGTTCTGCTTTAGAGAGTAATATGTGATTGTAGTATAAAAGGTAATTAAGAATAATAGAGCCACACCTAGTGCTGTCTGTATCATTTTACAGAAGAGGAAACAGGCCCAGGGAGAGTAAGTTACATGAGGTAATATAACTGAAGGGAAACATTTTTAGTACTGATAATTCCAAAGCAGCTGCTCAAATTCTTTTAAATTATGGTTTCTATAATTTCTAGCTCACCTGTCCTGTTCCAGATACACACTTAGCTGACAGTGATCTCTGAAGAGGCGACTTTGAATTTGCTCTTACAATATCTAAACGAGATGAATACTCTGGTGGATACAGAGAATTTCGGAAAACCTATTGCAATAATAAAACAACATTATAAAGTAGATACTAAACAGTGAAAATCTAGAGAGTCAAATTCTTCTTAAGATTCTTAAAAAGCAACTCCCCCCAAATTGGACAATATTCCAGTTATTAGAAAAAACAAAAATACAAAAATAGTGTAAGCTAGAAAGTTGACAGCTAAATAACTATTTGAATCATGTAAGTCAAGGGATGTAAGCACTAATTAGTCATGAAACAATCACTTAAATGCTTTTGCCAGGGGAATTGCAAAAATTCGACCCTCAGAGTATACAGGAAGCTAGTATGGAAGCTGCAACTCCTACCTTTGATTCTTCCTGTTTTGCCTGTCCTTAACTCTTACCAATTTAACTTCACTGTAGTACTGCTAGGGATTATCACCTAAGAGTAAATTGGAGTCTTTATAATTTATGGATTCTAGCCTCATTGGAATCTGGAATGCTGTAACTTGTCAGTTCCTTTAAGACACTACTTCCAAATCTTACCACTCTTAAGCCTTCCTGTCTTTCCCCCCATTTCTCTAGTAGACTAACAGGTAAGGTTATCAGGTGTGCATCTTTTCAACTTGTCTTTCCCCCTCAAATTCTTCATCCCATCCTTTATTTTTTTTAAGTAAATATCATCTATTCTTTCCAACGTGCATTTTTCCTTTATCCAAAACTTTAAACCAAACTAACAAAAGCTTTTGTTTTCCACAGGTGTTCCCTCTCCTAGAAAAACGAGCTCAAGATAATTTTTTTTAATTACTTCAAGGCATACCTTTACTTCTTAAAAAAACTTTTCAAATACTCAATTTTCATCTTCATTTTTAAACAAACTACTATTGTGGGCTTTCACCTTCCACTCAAATTACCCTAGCCAAAACCACCAAAGTCATCTTTTTGTCTTCATCCTCACTGACTGTGTCCCAAAACTTCTTTTCCTTGCCATCACTAAGCTCTTTAATTGTGCTAGCTGCTCTGTTTCTTCACATCTCCTTTCCTATTACTTACACGTTAAATATTTTTAAAGTGTTTCCCTTAGTCCACTTTAAAAAAAAGTTTGTCTGAAAGCTCTTATCTACTCAGTGTTTAATGGCTATCCTTCAACTAATCCTCTGTATACTTCATATACTGTCTTCTGACATCCATATTCATGCTCCCAACTGCCTTCTGTTTTAGACCAGCACTGTCCAATAGAACTTTCTGAGAAGATGGAAATGCTTGCTGTTCTGTGCTGTCTAAAAAGGTAGTCACTGGCCATATGTGGCTAGTAAGTACTTGAAATGTGATTCATATGACTGAGGAACTGAATTTCTTAACTTTAATTACTTTAAGTAGCCACATATGCATAGTGGCTGCTATTAAATATATTGGACAGTGTGGCTCTAGATTTTATTTTTATAATAACAGATATTATCTTTTACCTGCCGGTTAAGCTGTAAGCCTGGGCATTCTCTCTAAATTTCTCACCTGAGGTTCTTCTAATGTATTGACTCTACATAACTTTCTTTATAGTTTACTTAGACTTACTTTACTAAAAACCAAAATATGTTGTTTCTCTATTCAGAAAGTTTTTGTGGCTCATGACTATATATGCAGAACATGCATTATTCTGTGCCTGTGCAATGCTGGTTCCCTAGCCTGGAATCACAACAAACTTACCCTTCCTGAGCCACATCAAATGCCATATTCTGCTTTCCCCTGTTCTCTTAGTAGCTCTTATTGTTCAAGTATAGCTTTTATCTCATTATTTTGTAATTGATTACATAGTTTCCACAACTAGTCTTAAGTTCCTCTAAGGCAAGAAGCTGTGTTTTATCTATGTAACTCCTCGGAGCTTAAGATACTAACCTGGCAAATTGGAAATGTTAAGACGACCCAAATTAGGGGATGCCTACACAGTCCTTTAAATCTTAGAGAACTGCAGGACATAAAAGGAATCAGGGGATAAAACTTACGAGGTAAGACTTGTATTTTAAGGCAATTCAGGAATGCTAATTAGGTTAACAAGTTGCCAAGGACCAAAATCTATTTGGATGCCAGACATCAACACTGACATCCTGGTATAGTATCAAAACTTGATGACTCATTAATCAACTGGAATTTGGAAGAGATATTTTTGTTAGAACATTCCTTTAACTTTTCTAGAAAAGCTGAAATTTAAAGTGGAAAATGGAAGACAACATACAACCCTTGGGATAAAAGTCTAAACCAGTTAAAGGCCAGGTGCTCACGCCTGTAATCCTAGCACTCTGGGAGGCCGAGGCGGGCGGATTGCTTGAGGTCAGGAGTTCGAAACCAGCCTGAGCAAGAGCGAGACCTCTCTACTATAACACGAAAGAAATTAATTGGCCAACTAATATATAGAAAAAATTAGCCAGGCATGGTGTCGCATGCTTGTAGTCCCAGCTACTCGGGAGGCTGAGGCAGGATTGCTTGAGCCCAGGAGTTTGAGGTTGCTGTGATCTAGGCTGATGCCAGGGCACTCACTCTAGCCTGGGCAACAAAGTGAGACTCTGTCTCAAAAAAAAAAAAAAAATCAGTTAAATATTTATTAAAATTAAACTTCTACTTTAAAATAACAGATTTATAGGAACGTTAATTGGCAATAATGCATTTCCCAACATGGTCCAAGATCTCTTCTAGGAGTGAATCTCAAGATCTGAATATGCTCTGCAGTGAAAGTGCAGAGGTGGCCGGGCGCGGTGGCTCACGCCTGTAATCCTAGCACTCTGGGAGGCCGAGGCGGGCGCGGATTGCTCAAGGTCAGGAGTTTGAAACCAGCCTGAGCAAGAGCGAGACCCCGTCTCTACTATAAATAGAAATAAATTAATTGGCCAACTAATACGTATATAGAAAAAATTAGCCGGGCATGGTGGCACATGCCTGTGCGCTACTTGGGAGGCTGAGGCAGGAGGATTGCTTGAGCCCAGGAGTTTGAGGTTGCTGTGAGCTAGGCTGACGCCATGGCACTCACTCTAGCCTGGGCAACAAAGTGAGACTCTGTGTCAAAAAAAAAAAAGAAATTGCAGAGGTGATCATAAGGGGAAAATGGGCCTGACAATACTTTTTAAGTGAAGAACAGATAAGGTAAGATAGTTTGTGATATAATTAGAGTACCTAACTGCAAAAAACTGGCTGCAGCTAGAATAAATCTCAGTGGTTCTCAGAAAGCAGGGACTACCTGGAAGTATAGCAAGTTATTTCTCTGTCCCTTTGTGCGTGTTTTTTCTACTTTCCAAGAAACCTTATATTTGCAGGATCCTTCCTCCTCTTAGTACCTGTTTGATACAGTTTTACTTCTCCTGATGGTACCTGTTTGATAGTTTTACTTCTCTTGATCACACAAGGCTCCCCAGACTGCTCGGCTGTCTCCACAATTGCTGTATGGCATAATAATAATAGTTTATGCCTATAGCTCATTGAACTCATGCTTGTACCCTGTACTGTGCTGTTTTAAATATAATTTTCTTTATTCTTGCCTTAGGATCTATGTATATTCTGTCTATGCCCTCTGCCTGAAAGTTTTTGCCAGGCATCCTCCTAATCTTTCAACCTTCTAATTAAGAAATCACTCTTTGATTCTCTGGACTATTTGAAACCTCCATCACACAGTATACTCTATTTTTTTCTTTATGGAACTAGTCATATTATAAAACTTAAATAATTACACATTATTTTTTAAATGTCTAAACTCTGGTAGATTTTAAATTCCTGCTTTGACAACTCGGATCATTTCTAACTTACAATGCTAAATCCTTAGCACTAAGAATGGTGCCTGGCATGTAACAGATGCTCAATAAATAGTTGTTGCACAAATATATGAAGTAAGTACCATATATAAGTATCTCCATCTTAGAGAGGAGGAAGTTGAAGGGTGACCATGTTAACTAGCTCAGTATTACTCCACTAGAAAGTGGGAAAGTTGATATTCAAAAACACATCTACCACATTGCCCTGAGACCTTGATGTCTCCTCCCACAAACTACCTAGCTACTGGGTAAGAGTAGTGGTAAGAGAACTTGTAAAGTGGCATGACAAAAATGTTATCTAGAGATGGGTGTTGTGGCTCATACCTGTAATCCTAGCACTGTGGGAGGCCAAGGCAGGAGGATTGCTTGAGGCCAGTTCAAGACCAGCCTGAGCAACATAATGAGACCTCTTTTCTACAAAATATTTAAAAATTAGCTAGGCATGGTGGCGCATGCCTGTAGTCCTGGCTACTTGGCAGGGTGAGGCAGGAGGATTACTTGAGCCCAGGGTTTGAGGTTGCAGTGAGCTATGATGATGTCACTGCACTCTAGCCCCGGTGACAGAGTGAGCCCCCCTCACCCCCCCCCCAAAAAAAAAAAAAGATATCTAGGACCTCTGGAATGAGAAGGAAACTGGTGGAGATCATCAGGTGTGAAGAAACTTTAACATCAATTTTAATGAATGGCATGGCAAAGGTATTAGAAAAAGGAGAATGAAACTTAGAAAGGGATGCCAGTGTTGCAGGAAAAGTGGGGGATCATTTTTGAACCTGTCACTCAATGCAATGTTATTTCTTGTAAGAAATGGTTCGTATCACTCATCAAGAATCACACTTCTGGTACTCTAGTGTAGAGAGGATAAAAATATAGCAGGCCTGGTAGTCGGACTTCTGGTTTTGATTTCAGCTCTGCTACTATCTAGCTGTGGGACCTCTGGTAAGTTTCTTAACCTCACTGCTTCAGTTTTCTCATCCATAGAAATGAGGACAATAAGCACTTTCATCAAAGTTGATGGGAGGATTAAAATTAATGTAGTTAAAATGCATAGATCAGTAGCTGGGCCAATGCAATCATACATAAGCATTTGCTATTTTATAAATTTACAAATTACAGATGAAGGCTTGCAATCATTTTTTAAAAACAGGACATGAAAAGGAATGAAAATTAAGAAACTCTAGCTTTAGTATTTGGAAGGAAATAACACCGTAGAAGTAATCCATGACGAACAAAATATGATCATGTACGGACAACTGCCATAGAACTGTGAAATCAAATTTTAGCATTGGAAACATTCACATAGTATAATGTACCTTTTCTCATTTTCATTAACTTATATTCTGGTTTTACTGAATTAAGTTTCCTGGAACCAGCGAAGTAATGGGATGAGAAGGCTCACAGGGTCTCTTTATTGATAGTTAATATAATAAAAAATATTGGGGGAATCTTCAAAATTGTCAAATGGCAGATACTCTCAAATTCTATCCTTTATTAATACAGAATTCTAGTTATATCTTGAGAGTACATGACTTTTTTCCACCTCTATATTAGAGATAATATGGAGAAAGTATATATCTTTAATATTATATCTATTTCAGCAAAAATACCTTTGTGCCTTTTTCTCTTTTGGAAGAGGCTAGGATATTTACTCTTCAAATGTGATTATTAACACATTGTCTGCCACGCTAGAAAAAAATTTTTTTTCCTTGAGGCCATGGTATTTTTATTATGAAAATAGAATAAAAACTTCAAAAACAAAATGATCCTTTCTAATTTAATGAAAAATGGGTTATTTTTTATTGTTTACTGTGTGTGAGTTATATGCAATGCAATCCATGCTTTTAGAATTAAATTGTCAATATTAATTGTAACAATAAGAACATCAACAAGATTTTCACAAACCATCTGCAGGGTTTTGCTTCACAGGGCCCCAGGCTCAAACATAGCGGGAGTTAAATACAACTGATAAGGTGGTTAATGTGTTAAAGATGAGGCCTTGATACTTAATAGCTCTAATGTTAGTTGGTTAATAAGAAGTGTTTGCATTTAACTAAAACTCCTATTAGCATAAAGCAAACTTAAACAAGCCTACTTTTATTTCATAGCTTAGTGATTATACATCACACAGTTGGGATGCTATTCTATTATTTAAAGCCTCTCAGCCTGTTTCTGTAGTTGTAAAATTAGAGTTATAAGAGCACCTACCTCTTAAGATTGTGTGAAGTTTGAGAAAATGCATGTAAAGCTTTGGGCACTATTCGTGGCATAAACACTTAAATGTTCCTCAAATCAATAAATTTAGTTATTTTTAGCACACTTTGGTGGCTTATATCACCAGCCAAAACGATACACTGTTTTATTTCATGTAATAGCTTTATGTAAATTATATTTTACTAGCTATTAAATAAATTAACTCTTAGAACTTTTTGCTATGTTAATTTGAAAAGTTAAAAATAAATAATTATAAAAAGTTCACCTATTTGGGGCTGCACACAATAACCATTGTAGTGTTCTAATTTAAGATATTTTTACCCATATAAACTAACATTCTCTTTTAAACACTTACACAACAGAAGAACTGAGCTTATACAGACATAGTCCTACCTCTAAATCTTCATCCTCATCAATCTTTTGTATGTTTTGGTAGGCAGCAGTGTAGACCTCTAAAGCTTTGCCGTGAAATAACATTTCGATTGTGATGAATTCTGAAAATATAGTCTAAGAAAACAAAGATTTGAATTTAAACAGTCATTTAAATTACTTTATCAGTTTAGTATATTTATTCTCAGTATAGTCGTAGCATTTTATAAAATACAGAAGTATCTATTTTTCTATAAGTCAAATGAAGTATGAAAGATAACTGAAATAAAAATAGTTATGAAGACCTTTTGCAGCAAAACCTTCAAATTATATAAAGTGTTTCCCACATCACCATTCACTTCCTTCTTATTTTTTAGTTTAGTTAGGTTTCCGCTTTACACCTAGTAATTGACATTTGTAGTAAAGAATGACGTGACCAAAATGTATGCCATTATGTACTCTGATACCACATACCTATTAAGTATTAGAGCAGTTCAGTTCTGAAGCTGGTACTTTAGTAACTCTAAATTATGTTTAAAGAATAGAATATTTTTTAGGCAGGAATTATAGTCCATCATATTTCTGACTATATGCTTCTTATATTCTCTAAACAAAGAAATGACTTGGTAATAATGACACTCCTACGATAACAATATGATACATTTCCATAGAGCTTTCCAGTTTACAAATACTGACTTGTCCAGTGTTGCTCACAGCTTGACTGTTGAGACATGGATCTGATCCTAAGGTTATAAGGTTATATCCCTTGCCCACTAAGAGTTATAGGTTATACAGCTCATGTAAGGTTATAGCTTTTGCCCACTGAACTGTGTTGTTCTTGCTGTAATTAATCATTTCCTTCACAAAAAAACTGTTCAGGAAGCTCTATGAACATGATGAAAATTTAAGGAGGATCATGAGCAAAGAGAATGAAGATATGCACATGATTTAAGCAGGGGGTGAGATAATTAGTAGGTGGGGAAAGGATATAAGTCAGGCATGTTTTCAATAAACAGGATCTTATCATTTTGTTAATTACCTTGTCTCTTACCAAAATAAAATAAGCATTAATGTAGAGAGAAGTGGGATGAGTAAGAACAAAGTAGAAAATACTCAAGCATGGGTTAATGCTAGAAGGCAATAGTCAAATACACATTTCCCTTCATCCCTGCTCTCCTGAGGTAACCACCCAGAAAGGAGTGATCATGTACTTTGAAGATAGTCATATAAATAACCATCAGTGTCCTATGATTCTTTTCTCCATTTCCCTTCTTTCCTAAAAGATTAGAGAGATATTTAAAAGAGTATTAACAGGCTTCTGAGTGTTACTCAGTGGAAACAGATCTGTAGTTGAAGGTATCCCTTCTGGGCTGCCAAGCACATATGTCAGTCTGACTGAGAAGACTGGGCTCTGGGGTAAGACACTTGTAACTGACCAACAATTACCCGTACTGTCACTTCATATAGGTTATATAGAGGGCTCTGGCACACGGGACTGGCAACTATTAAAATAAACAGCAAAATAACAGTTTGGGATTTCATACTAAGAATCTCCAGATATCAAGGAATACCTTAGAGGAGGAATGGCTTTTGACCAGGGCTGGCATCTACTCTCTTAGTTTTCAGTCTCCCTAAGATAGTTAACCACAAAGGAGTCAAGTGTCCTTGAGGAGTATGGAAACTCCTAAAGGGAAAACAGAAGTAGGAATCACTGACAAGCTGAAACACCCAGTTTCAATGCTCCAGAAGTTAACTGGCTGGCATGGTGGTATACTCCTATAATCCCAGCTACTTGGGAGGCTGAGGTCGGAAGATTCCTTGAACCCAGGAGTTCTAGACCTGCCTCAGCAACATAGTGAGATCCCCGTCTAACAACTACAAAACAATTAAACTAGCTAAATTGGAAAATGTTCCTCATCCACTAATACTAAAGCCTTCATCTGGTTTGATTAGCAAGCAAAGTATTTAACAAAAAAGTTATCAGTGGTCTTGTCAACATTTTGGCAGGTAAAATGAAAATAACAGGCCAGGTGTGGTAGCTCATGTCTAAGCCTAGCTCTTTGAGAGGCCAAGGCAGGAGGCTCACTTGGGGGCAAGAGTTCAAGACCAGCCTGAGCTACATAGTGAGACCCAGCTCTACAAAAAGTAGAAAAAATAAGCCTACATGGTGGTATGTGTCTATAGTCCCAGCTACTTGGGATGATGCAGGAGGATTGTTTGTGCCCAGGAGTTTGAGGTTGCAGTGAGCTATGATGATGCCACTGCACTCTAGCCTGGGTTAACAGAGTGAGACCCTGTCTCAGAAAAGGAAAAAAGTGAAGGGGAAATGACACTCTCCAGAGTACAGACTATTTAATAAAGGATGTTGGGAGAATTTTATACCCATTTTAAAATAAGGAAGTTATATATCTACCTCATGCCAGGTGCAAAACACAACTGCTAGATAAAATATTTAAATGTTTAAAATATTAAAATGGTAAATATTAACACAAACACTAAAAGAAAATAAAAGCAAGTATTTATATCATTATCTAGGGGATGAAAACCTAAGCATGACACAGGCAGAAACCAAAAAGATGACCAATGGATTTGGCAACAAAAAGAAAAGTTCATGGTGGCAGAAACACCGTAAGCTGTAAAATGAGAAAATGTATTTTCACAAATATAAAGGATTTTTACAAAAAGAGAAATGCCAACATCCAATAGAAATATAGGCTAAGGAAAAATGTATTACCTATAGAAATGTATCATTAAATACATGAAAAAAATGCTCAGCAGTAACAATGTAAATGAGACATTGATTTTTTACCTATCAGTTGCTGTTATTAAAAACATTATTCATCATTTTATCTGTGCTTATGCAAGGTTTAGTAGAAATGTAAACTGGTTCAACTTTGGTGGATAGAAGTTGTAAAAACTGTATGCTCTTTGAACAAGGAACTCCATTTCTGGTAATTTATCCCAAAAGATTGTCTGGGCCAGCACAAAGGCCAATATTTAAGGATGTATAATGATGCAGTGACATCTATAATTGCAAAAATAACTTAGGGAGGTTATTTTGTCCACCATTGAGGACTGGTTAATAAACCAATACATCCATATTGCAGAACACTCTGAGGATGCCAAAAATGATGATACAGATCTCTATGTCTTAGCATAAATGTTCATGATGTATTAAATTTTAAAAAGAGTTTTACTATATATAGTGTAGTCCCATTTGTATTTAACTGTGTTGGGCTAAAAATTAGTACCTTTCTCATAAGGATGTTGTAAGGAATAAATGAGTTTATCCACATAAAATGCTTAGAATGGTACCTGGCAAATAGTTGATGTTTAAGAAATGTTTTTGTTGTTATTACCATATCTCTGTGTATATGTGCATAGGGAAGAAGTTTGAAGGATAGAAACAAATTGGAGCTGATTATTTTTGAGTGGGATTATTGTACTTTTCTCTAATTTTATGGAAATTTTTATGATTTTTTTATATTTATAATAAAAAATAAAACTATTAAAAATTTAACTTAGAAGATGTTTCTTGTCCATGTCAGCTGCTGTACCACACACTGAGTTCCTCTCCCTGTTTGTTCCAGGAATAAGTGCTGGTCAAGTACCTTTGTAGAAGGTGTGAAATTCCCTTAACATTCACCATATAACTGATGACTTTTCCTATTACATGGAAAACAAATGAGATTGTAATTTTTCTATCTTGTTCTGTACACTAAGTTCAATACCAGCCTTTCTCAGAAAGACATTTTTTGCACAATTCCTATGAAAAATCTTTGTCTAAATATTGTGTTACCTAATTAATGCCATTACCAAAATCCAAAGGGACTTGTCAATTAAACCCAACTCAAACACAGTAATGCAGTTGTGAGCAGTGCTCACTACGGCTAATCATTTCTGCTTCCAGAGTGGTTAAAGAAGGAGCCATAAGTTCTGCCCTCATCTGAAGTAGTAGCCTAACAACTTTGACTAAGTTTGGTCTTTGTCTGTTTCTCCCCAAAATAAGAGGAGCATCAAAAACTCTGTTTTTTCCAAGAATTTGTCTCACAAACATGTTTAGCATGTCAAACATGCTAAAATCAACATGGTGATATATGAATATTGTTTTTACTATTAATAGAAATTGGGTAATATAACCTTTTTTGACTATCTTTGAGCCTAGTGTTAATAGATTTCTGCATCCCTCTTTCAAGTGAAAGATCTCAAATATGGCCTAACTTGGAAAAGAAACAATAATGATGTGGAAAGATGTGCAGAATGGAGATTCAGAACCCTAAAAGACTCTGGTATTGATAACTGGTGCTCATATTTCTGGGAGTTTGCAGGTAATATGATTTTGCATGAAGAAAATTCTAAGGAATCCACTAAAAACTATTAGAACTAATAGTTGAATGTGGCAAGGTTGTAGGACATAAAGTCAGTGTACAAAAGTCAATTGTATTTCTATACATTTGAAATGAGCAATCTGAAAATGCAATTAAGAAAACAATTGCATTTAAAATAGCAATAGGAAGTATAAAATACTTAAGAATAAGTTTAATAAAAGGGCAAAGTTTATACTCTGAAAACTATAAATATTGTTTAAAGAAATTAGGAAAGATTTTAAATAAATGGTAAAACATCCCATGTTCAGGGATTGGAAGAATTAATCTTAAAATGTTAATACTCCCCAAATTGATCAGCAGATTTTATGCAATTACTATTAGAGCCCTAGATAACTTCTTTGTAGAAACTGACAGGCTGGTTCTAAAATTCATGTGGAAATGCAGATAGATAGATCCACAATAGCCAAATCAGTCTTAAAAAAGAACAAAGAAGACTCATATAACCTGATTTAAAATTTACCATAAAGCAGTGTTAATCAAGTCAGTGTGGTACTGGCCTAAGGATAGAAACATAGATCAATGAAAGGGAATGTGAGTCTGGAAATAAAACCATGTCAACTTATTTCAGCAAAGGTGCCAACACCATTCAATGAGGAAAGAATAGTCTCTTCAAATGGTGTTGCAACAACTAGATAGTCATAAGCAAAAGACTGAAATTTGACATTTAGCTCACACCATATATAAAAATTAAATGTATCAAAGTCATCTATAAGAGCTAAAATTATAAAATTGTTAGAAAACATAAGGATAAATCTTCATGACCCTGGATTTAGCAATGGATTCTTAGCTATGACATCAAAGCACAAGCAACAAAAGACATAAATTGGAATTCATCATAATGAAAAATTTGTGCTTCACCATTATGAAAGTGAAAAGACAACCCACAGAATGGGAGAAAATAATAGGTTTTATTTATCTGATAAGGGACTTCTATCTTACAACTCAATGATAAAAGATAACCTAATTAAAATATGGGCAAAGGATGTAAATAGCCATTTCTCCAAAGAAGATATATATACAAATGGTTAATAAGCATCAGGGAATGCAAGTCAAAACTACAATGAAATACTATGAATACTTCCAACCCTCTAAGATGGCTACAACAAAGAAGCATGGAAAAAAAAAAACAAGTCTGATGAATGTCAAGTATTGAGGATACATAGAAATCAGGACCCTCATATACTGCTGGTGTGCCAAAACAATGGTGCACTCACTTTGGAAAACAGTCTGGCAATTCCTGATATTATTAGCATAGAATTCTCAATGAACCAGCAATTCCACTCCTAGGAATACACCTATGAGAAGTGAAAATATCTGTCTACACAAAAACTTGCACATAAATGTTTATATCAGCATTATTCACAATAGCCAAAAAGTGAAAACAACATAAATGTCCAACTGATGAATGGATAAACAAAATGTGACAATGTCCATATAATGGAATATTATTTGGCCATAAAAAGGACTGAAGTACATCCTACAACATGGCTAAGCCTTGAAAGCAGGCTAATTGAAAGAAGCCAGTCATAAAAGATAACATTTTATGGTTACATTCATATGAAATGTCCAGAATAGATCAATTCATAGAGACAAAGAAGATCAGTGATGGCTGTTTAGGGATGGGAGGCAGTCAGGGAGTTAAAAGCCAAAGTGTACGAGGTTGAGGTGATGGTTGCACATACCTGTGAATACACTAAAAACCACTGAGTTGTAAACTTTGAATTATAATCTCAATTTTTTTTAAGTGTAGGGTTTTTCTCTTTTTCCTCTGCAACCACCAGGAAATTTTCCTCTTTTGTGGACATGACACGGCAGACAAAGGGAAGCTCAGAAACTTTTCTATGTACCTTCCACTGTGCAGCCCCTCACTCTATCTCCTGTTGCTTCAGGAAATTACAGGTTAGGAATTGTAGCTGGGAACTCTACACTCAACTTCTCTGCCCCCATTTTGTACTTGGTGATGCTCAAGGGACCTAAAAACACCTGTTGTAGAGGTAGCTAGTTATGGGGGTAGGACACAGAAGTGAACCCAAAGATCAGAGTAGAGATGAATTTCCATGTGTAAAAGTAGATTTTGCAGACAGGAGGATGGGTGGTGGAATGAGGAATCAGGCTCCCATCACTACAGAAGCCCTTAGGTGACAGTGGAATCAGACATACAAGTCTCCATTCTCATTTTTTAGGCTAAAGCTAATTAGTAACCCTCGTTTCCCTCAATTTAAGAAAGCACGTCAACAATTGTAAAATTTTATACCGACAGTACTCTCCTAGTCTGGTAAAAGAATTTGTTGCAAGACAGTGCCCTGAGATGCTCTTCGATGAGTAGCTGTCTACTATTACACAGCAAAGTGCACAAGCTGTGACTGAACTGAGGCTATGAAATTCTTTTAAATGATAAGGAAATTAAAGAAAGTAAAATATGCAAATGAATTTTGTTTCATGGATTCAGAGAGGAATGATATTTAATTGACAGATCATGCTTATTTTATTGATAGGAACATGGCTTATAAAAGCAGGAAGATTTCTTCGTCAATAGTAAAGTAACAAAAAAACTTATCTTTAAAACTTGGCACAAGAAAATTTACAGTGAGCCAAAAGACATCCTTAGATGAGTTCTAAAGTCTATAAGATGATCATAAGCAATCTTTCATCTTTCCAAGAGGCTTATTGAAAAGTCACCGAAGACCTGCTGAATTTCATGATCCCAAAGAAAGTTTCAAATCTGATGTGTTACAATAAAATAAGTCAATTCGTGTGATTTTGTTAACTAAGATACCATAGCATAGTGGGTACAGATTGATGTGGTTGGCTACTGTGACCCTGTTATATGTTTACTTATTTGATAATATGTAGTTATTAGAAAGTTTTATGCTATAAAAATTAACTATAGTGTATTATAACAAAGCACAGATTTTTAAAAAATGATTTATAGCAACATTTCTGACTGTGGTGCTTTGGGTAAGTTACTCTATGTCTCTGCTTAATTGCTTAAATTTCTTCATAGTACCACCTCATTCTCATGGGGTTACTGTGAAGATTGGAAGATAATTTATGTGAAGTGGCTGGAATAGCACCTGATACATGCAAACATAACATATGTTAGTTCCCCTGGATTGAATAGTATTTGTGATAAAAAGCTGAATATCTGCCCTGTGGTTGGGACTGCTGACCCTTTATATACCATTGTTTCCATGACAAAGTAACATTTGATATATTTTGATTTATAATATCTTTTTTTCCCCACAAGAACTGTTTATGAGCTAACAAATTCAGAGTAATCTAAAATTTTCATAAGTTTAGATTAGTTAAGGTTCATGTTTTGAACCTTAACTGTTACTTTATTACCTTTATATCCTTTATTTTCTGCTTTTCAAAATTGTCAATAGTTTCCTCTAGATGACGAGTTGTTCGTGTGGCATCCATTGTAGCTCTCTGTAATTCGGTTTCTGCCTACAAAAGTATTCCCCAACCAAAGATATTAAAAAAACAAATCAGAATCCATTTAGTTGAGTCTACTGGTAAATGCTACCATTATAGTACTGGCTTTCTGGCATAATAGTGTAAATTGTTCAATGCTATATTTTACCACATGTAATAAAATGATCTATGTAATAAGCACATGGCAGAATAAAGAACTTTATGTGTATTAAAAAGTGACATGATTCATGATCTCAGAAAAACCCCGAATCCTTCCCTTTCTTTCAATAAAATTATTTTTCCCCTACCACCTTTGGATGATTTATTATAAAACAATTTTTTATATTTTCTATGGCTGCTATCTGTTTCACTGCCTGTGCCATTTATCATAGGATCCTTTTTCTTCTGTCTCTCTCCCCTTCAGCTATTTCTACCCACAAAAGAAAAGATTTATGACTTAGGAATCAGGATTTTCAGTTCTCTCAATTACAGATTCTCTCTTAATCTATAAAATACAATAATACTTATCTCATAGGATTACAATATGGATTAAATGAAATAATCTTTGTAAAGGACTAAGGAGAGTGATTGGCACACAGTAGAAAAATCTACAGCTATGACAATTTCCACAACTAAGTGTCTGTGTTTATTTTTATCATTACAACAAGGAGGTATTTTTGGCTAGCAAGTATATAACCGGAGACTCTTCCTTTCTTACTTTTATTGTCTCAAAAATATCTAATTTTATAATATTTTAATTAGGTGGAGTAGAATATACATTATAAATATTTATTTCAGCATGGGATTTCTACTTGTAGATTCTTCTTTATAAACTAATGATATTACATTGTTTCTATTTAGTTATTGTGCATTACAAAAAATATATACACTAGTAGCTAGAAAATCAGATAGCAAGTCTAATGCTTTGCTTCATACACTCTGACATTATCTAAATCTGTGCTGTACAATCAATATGGTGGCCATTAGCCACATGTGGCTACTTACATTTAAATTAATTAAAGTTAAATTAAATAAAAATTTAAAAACTGATTCCTATTACTGTAGTTGCATTTCAAGAGCTCAAAAGCCATACATAGTGGCTATAGTACTGTTAAGTGTAGAACATTTCCAATCTAATTGTCTATTTCTCTTTAAGCATCTCTTTCTTTAGGATAATAGTTGCTCAAAAACATTTAAAATATTTTCCTAAATAGTGACATAGAAATTTTAAAAGACAGAGCTCAATTTTCTGATTAAATTCTTCCTAATAAAGTCTTATTTCCTATGCTAGTATTAGAGTTACTAAAAGTCTCATATCATATATCATCATTTAATAATTAATCATGGGAAAAGTTTACATTTGTCATCAAAGTTCTATACTGTGACATTTGGCCTTTGCTTTCTTTTTTAGGAAAAAGATTAGTAAAAGGGTTTAATGTAAGGATCCATTTCTTTTCTTTTCCTTTCCTTTCTTTTTTTTTTTTGAGACAAGGTCTTGCTGTATCACCAGGGCTAGACTACAATGGCCTCATCACAGTTCACTGCAACCTCAAACTCCCGGGCTCAAACGATCCTCCTGCCTCAGTCTCCTGACTAGCTGGAACTACACGTGCGTCCCACCAGGCCCAGCTAATTTTTCTATGTTTTTGTAGAGACAGGGTCTAGCTCTTGCTCAGGCTGGTCTTGAACTCCTGGCCTCAAGCAATTCTCCAGCCTCTGCCTCCCAAAGTGCTAGGATTACAGGCATGAGCCACCTTGCCCGGCCAGATCCATTTCTTGACACACCACTTTATTACCCACCTGTGACTGAAATTTTTCATAAAGGAAAAAATACATTTCAAAGAGAATATAACAACTTTCTTCAATGAATTAAAATCATATACTTTTGTAGAATTATATACTCTTGTAATTAGGTAGTAATTATAACTATATATTGATTGCATACTCTTACAAGTAGGTTTATTCAGCTACATAATTTCAAGATACAAAGCACTTAAAAATATATTCATTTATACCTATGTTTGTATGTATATTTATTATATGGGGTGTCACCTTTTTTTACAACCATACAAACTTTCAACTTAATCATATCCAGTAATCAAAAACAATTCTCTATATTGCTAGGTGGGATTCTTTATAATCTCGTCAGAAGAAATTCAAAAGCAAAACAGAACTTCTTTGAAGATTTATTAACATGAAAAAATTCTCTAACAGTTATTTGATGTTTTAACCTTTTGCTAACGAGAATACTGAAGCAGACTAATTCCTAATACTGATTATTACATGTGACTGATACAGTCCTTTACTTGTGACTACTTCCTTTTGACTCATGTCTTTCCCTTCCCTATTTATTGGTATTTTCATTTTAAAATTTGGAAAGGTAAATAGAGTTGGCTAACCTAGGAAAGTATGGGGAAAGAGAAGCCATAGCTAGGACATCTGTATCTTAATCTTCTGTCACCTTCCAGCAACTACTATTCATTTCCAAAGGTCTCATATCCTTTACTCAAGCATAGCAATGTACCCAAATGTACCCAAATGTACCCAAAGTCACACAGCTATTTTTAGCAAAGAGAATACAGATTTCTAATAATTTTTCCTTTCACTGAAATTTTTTCTAAATCCCATAATGTACTAATTTGAGTAGGAAATGCTTTTGATTAAAATACTAAGACATGCCTTCATGAATAAAGATATATTCAATAGAATTAGTTAAGAATTTAAAATGATTATAAAAGGGTAAGGCAGATGGGTGTTTTTAAAACTGTGTATAGGAAGCTTGTTTAGAAGTCACTTGGGGCCTTTCTTAGGGGGTGAGCAGGTAGAGCCCTGGGATTCTATACCTGAATCTCTTCTATCACAGGGACTCCATTTTCTTTTACATATCACACTTTAACATACTTCTTCTAAATAGGTAAATTTTAAGGGTCTATTCTGGTAAAAATCCTATGAAAGTATGATTGAACATTATTATATTTATATTGATACATTTATATGTAGATTGTTCTTTATTTTTTTGGTCTTAGGTTGTAAAAATATACAAGTTGCAGATCTTGCCCAGTGAGAAAAATCAATTCACCTGTAGCAATAATCTCTTCAGTTGTATTTATTTTCTCCTCATGTGAACCCACAGACCTGCTTCATCTATGCTCTAAAACTGCCTCTCTTTCACAGCAGTTTCCATAGAGCATTTAAGAAAAATCTTTGTCTTAGGAATAGATTCATTTCTGTCTTTAGTATTGATACCAATACTCCTGGATTCAATGTTTCCAAGTGCTCAGGATTACAGATCTTACGTTTTACCTGCCTTCATATATCTCCACTCCTTTCACAGAGAACAAAAGAAAACCTTTTGATTCCTGGCTTAATTCTTAAACACTGGTGACACTCCTCCTGGCCTCTACCTTGACCTCCAGTTGTCAATCATGAATTTTCTAACATTCTCTAGTTTGTGTGACTTGCTTAAAACACAGACCGTGTAATCTCTAGTTTGCAGATCTTAAGCCTCCATAACCGTCTGGCCTTCAGTGGGCACTCCCAGCCTTGTGGCTGTCCATTTTTGTTTAGTACAAAGTTGGGGTTATGTACCTTTGGTCCAAAGGAAGAAGGACCAAGCAATTGGCGCAGCCCCAAATCACTGCTCAAGGGACTTCCCTCAGGAATGGAGGTGTTGTGGAACCTCAAATGCCCCCAGAGAGCCACTCCTCATGTAGTTTCTGGCAGAGCTGGGCAGTAACAACCTTAAGGAGGTAGGAAGGAGACTCATAAGAAGGAATGGGAAAGAGAGGCAGCAGGGATGTTATTGCTTTCTTCACAGTTCTACCTATCCCAGTTGCTGGCAATTAACCAAGCACAATTTGTATGCTTTTGTTTAAGTCATGAAGGCATATTCTAGTTTAGGAAATATTCAAGTTTAACAGAAGAACCTTGTTACAGTAGACAGTTCTGTTTAGATCCCTTTGTATCCAGCTTAGACCTCAACTATACTCCCTAAATCTCCTGAGGGTCATTGGCTGGAAGTCATAATTGTGGTTTTAAAAGATGAAGGAAATTATAATGGGAAATTTTCTTTCCTTTTCTCAAAAATGGGGCAGAGAAGGCATTGATATATTAGAATTAATGATAAAAATGATAAATCTTTTTTTTTTTTAATTCCATGGTGCCACTAACAAAAATGATAAATCTTTAAGTTATTTTTATAATTTCTATTTAGTCATCTCCATGTGAAAGAAATTTCAGAAATCTGAATTTACTCTTATATTAATAAAAACATCTGCATTTATGAGTGGGACTTTTTGTTCTGGGAAGTCTACTATGGAAAACAATATAAGGGGATTGAATGAGGTGGTGTAATTTCTTTAAAATTAGCTAATTTCTATAGTGAGAATTCCTAAATGTTTGTATTTTTCAATCTTTATATTCAAATTCTCCAGTCATTTAAAAGTAAAAATGCATAATTTCTATATACATTTACTTTTGTACTGCATACCTTACAAAACATTTTTTTAAAGACCAAAATGCAAAGGATACAATAACATGTCTATCAGATGGGTTTCGCTGACGTGTTCTTTCTAATTGAGTTAACTGCTTAGCTTCTCGATTCCTTGCTGTTAATGTTGCCTTCAGGTCATCCTGCAAATAGGCATTTTTGTTAATAAAAATTTCTGATTTAAGAAACAAAATATACACACACTGCTTTAAGAATGGAATAATACTTCTTGTTTGATCCAGGTACCATTACCACAGGAATTATGAATAATACATAATTAGTATGTCTATGTGTGTGTGAAAGTGTATGTTTCTTTTAATATTCTCTCAAAATAATAACACAATTTCAATGCAAAACTATAATCATAATATATATGTGTGTATATATGTATAATTTTGATTGTGGTTGTGGTTACATGGGTATACACATTTGTCAAAACTCAGTGGTCACTTAAAATGGAAGAGTTTTATTGCATGTAAATTATATTTCAATAAAGTTGTTTTTTTTCAAATAGAACTTTGTCACACTTTTTTTTTTTTAAACAGAGTCTCACTCTGTTGCCAGGGCTAGAGTGCTGTGGCGTCAGCCTAGCGCACAGCAACGTCAAACTCCTGGGCTCAAGTGATCCTTCTGCCTCAGCCTCCCAGGTAGCTGGGACTACAGGCATGTACCACAATGCCATACTAATTTATTTTTAAATATATATATATTTAGTTGTCCAGCTAATTTCTTTCTATTTTTTTAGTAGAGACGGTGTCTCTCTTGCTCAGGATGGTCGAACTTCTAAGCTCAAATGATCCACTCGCCTTGTCCTCCCAGAGTGCTAGGATTACAGGTGTAAGGTGTACACCCGCGGCCTTTGTCACAGATTTTAAAAGTCTAAATGTTATCAGCTGCTTTAAAACAAAAATATAAACTTATATGGTAAAGCAATTTCTGCCCATATATTCTTCATGACCATCTTAAATATTTTAAAGTTTCCATAATAATGTCTTATGCTGCTATAGAATACTTAGTAAGCTCACTAAAAATATTTCATTATTCTCAAAGATCTAAGAAGTGATCTTTCAGAGAATGTAAAAAGAATAACTACATAATACTTAGTAATTTTTATTAAAAGGATAGTTGGAAACCTTATACTCTTTTCCAGAATACCTAATAATAGGTGAAAAAAATGGATTTACTTACCCGTTTCATTTTTACAATAGTTCCATAAGCTTTCAAAGGTTCAACTACTTTGGCTTCAAGTCTTTCAACCTATTGAAAGTAATTATAAAATATAACTGAAATGAAATATATAGACATATCAAAATTTAAATTCTGAAATGAAACCTTTGCTGTTTAAACTGAACATAATTACTATACAAATGAATATTTAAAAAATTTTTAATTAAAATGTCACTGTTTAGCCTATCTTTTAACCTATAAGTAAAAGGATAATCACCAGAAATTGACAAGACTTGGAATTTAAACTCAAACACATTAAAAACTGTTGAGCTGTACACAGTAACAGTAAAAGCAGAAGAAAAGCATCTGGTGTGTAATATGACAAGAAAATGTCTCGGGTTTCTGAGGAGCTCATCTTTGCCATGTCATTATCTAAGTATTAGTTTTTTGCTTTAAAGTAGTAGTTTTGGGGTAAGTTTTAATACATCTCCAATTTTAATACAGCTATGATTTTCAGTGTGTTTAGCACAGTGTTGGACAGATTACATATATTATCTCTGAATTGTAATAGCCCAACTTTCTAGAAAAGAAAATTGAAGCTCAAAGACACAGCATACTGGAAACAGTTAAAGCAACACAACCTTTGAAGCAAAACATCTTAGGGGTCACTGTATTAGCCATATTTTTTTTCTGAGAAGCCATTTTTAAATTATCAAAGCCTAAAAAACAAGATAAATGGTCTCAGTGTTGCTGAGCTGTCAGACTGTATGTCTGATCTCTTTTTTATTTAGAATTGAATAATTTTTCTTAAACATTATAATTTTCATCACATTTTGAGTAATTCTTTTACTAGCTAAACTAGTGGAAGGCAATGAAAAGATTATTTTTTTAAAGACAGGTATATAAATATAGCATCAGAAAAATAACTCTCTTGGACATTAGAATTTTCTCTCCCCAGGATAAGTAATACAGGTATTAAATAAGTAATATTTAATTGCTTAAAATGAACATGTATTATTTCTATAGCAGGAAAAAGGCTTTTTATATAATTAATGAGTACATTTCATATTGATTTTTCTTTAATTTCTATAAACACTGTATATGAATGTTTCATTTTAAAAGATTTTAGGAAAATGGAAAAAAATCAAGTTCCCATAAAGGATTTAAATATTAAGACTCCTAAAATCACGAATATTTAGGATAGTTTAGTTTATCCCATTTCTAATAATCCATACATTGATTATTCAGTGTAAGGATTAGCCAAATCTCTTTTCTGTTCTCCTTTTTGTTGCCTACCTTTTGTCATTGTTCATTAGCACCTCCAACATTTGGTAAGCAAGGGAAATAAAGGAGAGCAAATGTAAAATTCACTTTGCTATTTGGTAAATAGCATAAAGGTTTTCTACAAAGGGCCATTGAATTATTGAGTAAAATGGGATTTTAGGAATATCTGTGAATATAAATTATTTTTGAAACACTAAATCCCCACTGATGAATAACTGAGAGTTGCTTATTACAGAAGAAATGTCACATGACAAGAACTCAAAATTTTTCCAAAAAGTACCCCCAAATGTAATTACTACTCAAATTTTTGTAGAGATAGCAATGATGGGTTCATAGATTATTCTCATTTTATTTTTTGAAAATTGAAACTTCTATTTTAGGCTTTAAAAAACGACCAAAAGTACTGATGAAAAAAGTTCAAAAAAAGTAATGCAGTTCTAACCAGGGAACTTTTGACAAGTTAACCTGTGTCTGGTAACTAAAAATAAATATAATAAAAGTGTTTATGAAGTATTACAGGGGAAATAAATGGGCTTTTATAAAGAAAACAATCACAAGAACACCTCCCCTGCCACCCAAAGCAAATCCCTTTCCCCAATACCTCACTACTAGTTTCCATGATACAAATCATAGCTTTTTGGTTTTTTTCTAGTCAAAGAACCAGTGGTCAACTTTTTAGAGCATGGAAGCAGCAACGGTCTCTTGCCTATTTATTAATAATTTATTCACTCACAATACCGTGAAAATTTCCCTCTCCAGTCATACTTTAAAATGTATTTACATGCACACAAGACAAAAGTCATGCTGCTTTCCTTCCCCATGGGTATTATGCATGCTACCCGCTGTTAATGGCCAAAAGTTGGCAAATAAAGTTGGGAAATTAAAGACTTTAAGACAGCCTAAAGTTTAGCGTGAAAATGGTAAAACAAATCACAGAAAGCTTCCCTTTAATAGACTTACACAACGTTACAGACATGAAAATGTACATTTCTCATCAAGCGGACGTTCACCACTGCACTCAGGCAGATTACAAGTGAAAGTCTTCCCGGCTCATTCATAACAATGACGCTGTGACCTCACTCCGTACCTCTGCTTGTCGATAATCCTGAAGCTTGGCAAACTCATCAGCGAAGTTTTTCAGGCCCTCCTTTAAATTTGGGGTCTCTGTGGAGGCATACACGCTGATTTCGTTCACTAGAAGGTCTGCTTTGTCTCGCAGCCTGGCAGTCTTCCGCACATAGGCAGCAAAGATTTGGCACAGCTCTCCAAAATGCTTCTCCACGTTTGTGACAGCATCTTGCAGTTGTCTGGTTTGAGCGTCCCTAGAGAAAAAGGTGACACAAAAGCCAAAACGTTCTCGTTAGAGACGAGAAGGCTTCCCATTAATTTGATATGCGAACATTCCCGGGACTTTGCGCAGCTTCGAAGGCACGAAATCACCAACGATCCCGCTGTCCGCCGGGGCAGACTGCCCTCCTCCAGGGCCCCACTCAGGGCCCGGCCTGCAGGGCCCGGCAGGCACAAGAGGCGACCCTGTCGGGGCAGGCCTCGGCTTGGCGAGCGGCGGTGGCTGCCCGGGCTGCTCCGCGCTCCGCGGCCGGGGCGCACCGCCGCCTCCCGGGCTTCGGCGCCGCCCGCGGCAGCGAGGGGAGCGGAGCCGCGGGAGTGTGGCCGTGGTGCAGCCGGCCGGGTCCCCGCTTCCCCAGCCGCCGGCGCTCGCTGCAGCCCAGGGACACAGGCCCCGCGGCGCGGCGAGGACTGTGCAGCCTCCCGCCCGGGGCCGGCACTCGGCGCGGAGGCCCCGCGGAGAGAAGCTTCACTCCCCGCGGCGCGGCCCTCGCGTGTGGGCCGCCCCGGGCAGCCGGGCCTGGGGCTCTTACCGGTTTTCCAGGCTGCGCCTCAACATCTTGCCTCGCGCGCGCGCGGCCGGGGGCCCCGGCCCGGGCTCCAACGACCGGGGTGGGCTGGCGTCCGGGCGCGCGCGGGGTCGGGAGCCGCAGTCGCCGCCGCCGGGAGCCGGAGGGCCCGCCCCGCGCGCCGCCGCGCTGGGCTGCGCGTTTCTATGGAAACTCGGCGCGCGCCCCCGCGCTCGCCGCCGGAGTGGGCCGGGGCGCGGGAAGGGCGGCGGCGCGCTCGCCCCGCGCGTTTGTGCCGCGGAGCGTGGGGAGCGTCGCCCGCGCCCGGGCCTTTCGCCCTAAGAGCCGCGCTCGCCCGGCGCCCGTCTCCAGCGTCCTAGGAGACTCGGAGCAAAGGAGGAAAGAAAAGCCCAACAGCCAGTAACCAGGGGGAGGAGTGACACTGAAGGCGGGGGTCCAGCCCCTGCCTCTGCGACCTTTCGTCCTACGCTCGACTCGTCCGCGGCTGTGTTCGAGCGTGTGGGCTCTTGGCAGCGGCCTCTGCAAGGGGCCGTGCCTACTGCCTGGTCTTTAGCCCTTCATTTATATTCGACAAGTATTTGTTGAGTTTTCAGGTGTGGAAAAGATTGCGTTAGACACTGGGAAAGATAACAAAGATAAGAAGCAGGGGTGCCAGACCCGAAGGGCCTGAGAGTTGGATGAGGAGACAAGACGCTTAAACGTTAAGAGTACGCAACCGAGATCAAACAGGACACTTGGCCTTTTCCTTGAACACCTCCGTCCTGTCGTTTGGGCCTTCTTGGCCTTTGCGTGTGCTGCTCTTCCAAGCAAAAACTTTATCTGCTTCAAGAAACCTCCCTGGGCTCCTCCTGCACTGGGCTTATTCAGGCAGTGCTAGGGCCCCTTCCCTTGTACTATGTTGATTTCGTGCTGTCTCCTGTACTCTAGACTTTGAGCTCTTTGAGGCATAGGAAATGCGATTTTGGTCTTGGATTCCTCAGTGCCTTGTGCTGCTCGATAAAAGTCTTTTGGACAAATGGAATGTCCTTAGTCCTTTGTTGCTTCTTTTAGAACTCCCCTTAATCTCTCATGTTACAATGTGTACTTCTCTTTTCCCCTTGCATTCACTCAGCCATTTATCTAATGAATGCCTGGGGTGTTCCAGGTAGTATGCTGGGCTCTGAGGATGGAGTGGTAACCTAAAGTCAGGGCAGCCTTTGCTCTTACAGAGCTTGCAGTCATGTGGGAAGGATAGACACTAAAACAAATATGTGTAAAATTGCATCTGTGGTATGTGCTACTGTATCGGCTTCTGCTGTGTAATAAACCACCACAAAATGTAGTGACTTACAACAATCTTTTAGCTAGCTCAGGATTCTATGAGTGGACTGGGTGGTTCTTCTACTTTGGTTTTGCTCAGCTGGGCTCTTTCGTACCTTTCTGGCCATCTGCTGGTGGCTGGAGATCTAGGATGGCCTTACTCATATGTCTTGAGGGTGGCCTACTGTCAGCAGGGGCAACATGTTTCTCATTCTCCAACAGTTTTTCATTCTCTCTTCAGTGGTTTCGGGGTTCCAAGGGAGCAAGACAGCACAAGTCTACTGCACAAGTGCCTTTCGAGTGTCCACCTGTGTCATGTTTGCTGATATCATATTGGTCGATGCAAAGCACATGGCCTAGACCAGAGAAGTCAGAGAGAGAGGACACTGGGATTGCTATGGGTAGAGGTGGTTGGTGGAGGGAGGGGAAGAATCAGTGGCTACTTTTGCAGTCTACTACTATGGGAAACCACACAGCAGTAAGAGAGCATATACTTAATACAGAACTTCGGTTTGAACTAGTTGCAGAAGGACTTTGTTGAGAAAGTGACATTTGAGCTGAGATCCAAAGACTAGGAAGGAGTTAACTAGGGGAAGAGGGAGTGAAAAACAGTCCAGACAGAGGGACATTATAGGCTAAGTGCCCCCTTTCCTTCCCCCACCCTTTCTCATCTATGCCCAGAATTCCATAACTCAGAAAATGACATAGTTCTCCAGCTGATTCTTTAAATCAAACACCGGAGAGTCATTTTGCCCAGCTACACTGGCAATTCCCCTCTGTTCCACTTCCCAAACATGTCCTTGAATCATTCCATCTTCACCTCTTCTGCATCCCCATAATCCAAGCTACTAGCATCATTCACTTGTACTACAATCCCCCCTTAATGGTCTCCCCATGTCTGCTGTTGCACATTGCAGTGCAAAATCAAACGTAAGTCAGATCATGTCAACAACCCTCCAAAGCCTCTGAGAGTGCTTAAAATAAAAATTTAAATCCTTGCTTAGGCTATTAAGGCTGTATCTCATTCCTGCCTACCCATCAACCTTCTCTTGCTGCCCTGCTGTGCTATAGCCACACTATCTTTCTGTTTGTAGCATATATATCTCAAGGTTAGCTCAGAGCCTGTTTGGTGTTTGTCATTCTCTTTGCTCCTTCTTCAGGTCCTCATGTGGCTGGCTGCTTCTTGTTACATAGAATTGTACTTAAAAAGCATCTACAGAGTGATCACCAAATCATCGCATCACCCTGTTTTGTTTCCTTTGAAGCACATACCATTCTCTGAAATGAACCTGTTTGTTTATATGCTACTTCTGTTTCCCAATGGCTACGATATATTCTCTGTGAAATTAGGCACTTTTATACACTACCTTGTTCAAATTGTATTCCTGATACCACCTAAGTGCTCTTAATAGGAGCTCAATAATTAGTGGAATTTATCAATGAATAAATAAATGAGCAAGTGAAAACCTCGAGAGAGAGGGGGCTTGGTGTGTGTGAGGAAAGGGAAGAAAGCCAATGAGGCTGGAGTGGGGGAGGTGGTGCTGTGGTCTGAGATGTAGCTAGAGGGGTTTGTAGGGGCCAGGCCACATAGGGCATTTTGGCCATGCTAAGGAGTGTGGAATTTGGTTCTTATATTAGTCATGGTTCTCTGGAGAAACAGAAGCAATAGGATATATGTGTATATATAATATGTAATTTAATTATGAGGAGTTGGCTCGAGTCCAGTGATTATGGAGGCTTAGAAGTCCTAAGATCTGCAGTCCACAGGCTGGGACCAGGAGAGCCAATGTGTAGCTTCAGTCTGAGTTCAAAGGCTTGAGAACCAGGAGAGTTGAGAGTTTAAATTCTAGTGTGAAAGCTGGCAGGGTTGAGACCCCAGGAAATTAGATGATTCAGACCTAGTTGGAAGGCTGGAAAAGACTGAGGTCCCAGGTCAAGCAGTCAGGCAGGAGCAGATCCCTCCTACTTAGCCTTTTTGTTCTATTCAGGTCTTCAGTTGTTTGGATGAGGCCCACCCATCTTAGATGGGGCGATCTGTTTTTTTCAATCTACCAATTCAAATGTTAATCTCATCCAGAAGCACCCTCACAGACATTCCAGGAATAATGTTTGGCCAAATGTCTGGGCACCTGTGGCCCAAATTGACACATAAAATTAACGAGCACAGTCTTATCTTAGTATCAATATGAAGATATTGATGTCTTAGAACAAGTTATTTATTACGCAACTCTTAAAGCTTTTAGCGAATGCCTCATGTGTATTATAGTAATTGTTGAACAAATGCATATTGCACCACATTCTTTCAGTCTCCACCCAATATATGGAATGAATGTGCTCTAGGAACCTTTCTCCTGAGATATATGCTCTTTAATCTTACTTTCCTGTCAACAGATATTTTAGATTTTTTTTGAGACAGGGTCTCACTCTGTTGCCCTAGCTAGAGTGCAGTGGTGTCATCATAAGTCACTATAACCCCAAACTCTTGGGCTCAAGCAATCCTCCTGTCTCAGCCTCCCCAGGAGCTGGGACTATAGGCGTGTGCCACCACACCCAGCTAATTTTTCTATTTTTTGTAGAGTTGGGGTCTTGCTATATTGCTCAGATTGACAACAGATATTTTAAGACAGGTACCAACACAACTGTTCTCAAGACTTTTCACAACTTGGAGACATTTTCTTTCTTATAGGCTATACTTTCTTCTAGGACATATCATCTCATAGAAGAGGAGCTAGGGGCCTGGGTGGTCAAGTGCCTTGGCCAAGGTCACATGATGGGTCATATGATGTAGGAGAACTGGAATTAAATCCTTTGTCTTCTCTTTCTAATATTTTTTCCATTTTAGTAATACAAAGATATTTCCTCTCTTTTCTATGATTGTTTTGCAAAGCTCTTAAACAAATGGAAACATTTGAATGTCATTCCATATTTGGAAGGAAGGTCTGTATCATAAGATCAGTTAATCATTGGACATAATTTCCCAAATCTCTGGAAATTATTGTTCCAGGTTACAAGCAATATAGGCCCTGACTTTTCTTAAACTACTGCATAATATTTGTACATTGGCTGTGAAAACAGCACAGTATTATTTTGTGCAACATTGAATGGACTTCATTTAGCATGGTTTAAGAGGGGTCCAGTGGAGGCAAAAAGTTATATTAGTTTCATTCACTCATTTATTCAGCATTACTTACTGAGAACTTGTATTAGGGGCTGGGCTTACTAAATTTCTGAACTCAAGGGCTCTGGGTAAAGTGGGAGGAGACACTGTACATGCAACTGGAAATTTTTTAAATGGTTTCTTTCCAGTCTTATTTCTTCAGGAATTTAGAGGTGTGATGTGGCTTAAACTAGATTATTTTTATTTAAACTGTATTATTATTTGGCTAATCAGAGCTTCCTCCTTCCTTTCCCCTATCCCATTTTAGAAGTGAAGAAAGATATTAAGTGACCAATCATGGTATATTGTATTTATTTGCTAACAGTGGGTTCATGCCTAACAATATAACTTTAAACACAGCTATTCAATGTTAAGTAGCTTATGCAAATTGTATTAATGCTGACACATAGAAATAATTTTTCTAAGCAAACAATTTATCTTTTTAATGTTTTGTTTATTTTATTTTTTACTTTTTAACAATTCATTATTTGAGGAATATAGGAACTCCCTCTAGTGGTAAATTTAGTATGTAAAAATTATGTGGTCAAGGTCTCTAGAACTGTGGTCCCCAAGCCCCAGGGACCAGGACCAGTAAGTGTCTGTAGCCTGATAGGAACTGGGTCACACAGCTGGAGGTGAGCAGTGGGTGCGAGGGA